ATGTAGGCGGGAAACTTGGAGGTAACATCGTAGGGGTAGGCGTATTCGAGCTTCTCATAGGTCGTCATTCCCGACATGTCGATGCGAGGCCGTGTGCGACGCTCCTTCACCTCCATCTCTGGTTGTTTTTCCTCGGGTGGCGGTGGCACGGCTTCGTTTGAGGCAGGGGCGTCGTTCTTGCTTGCATCGGCGGCAGTGGCAGCAGCATTTTGGGCTGCTGGGACGACAGGTGTCGAGGAGTGTGATCTCGTCAGAAGGAAGAAGACAGTGATGACAAAAACCGCAGCCACGATGGCGCGGCGAGAATTGAGCATTGCGACGATTGCTCCCGAAATCGACAGTGGTCTTGCCAGGTATGAACGAAGTTGCTGTCTTTTTTAGAAATTCGTCGATAAGGAGCGAAGTGTCCAGGATAATGAGGACAGGGGTAGGAAGCGAAGGTCGAGAAACGAAGGGACTAAGCTATTACAGCATAGAAAAAAGAGAGCGTGGCCAGGCAAGAGCTGGTGTTGAGAAGAGAACAAGCAAATGGCAGCAGCCAGATATTCTATGCGACAGCGTAGAAGAGAAGCAGAAAAGACGTGCTCAAGAATTTGCCTGTCAAATTGAGGCGGGCGAGGGATGAATTAGAACCCCCCATGCGCAGGGGTAGCGCAGTTGGAGACAGGTGGAGCCTTGATAGACAGTACAGCGTATCCAGCTAGCAGTCAGGAACTTGGAATTAGTGGTGTCGGTGCTGTGATGCAGTGCACCTTGTAGCAAAAAAGTTCCAAGTTAAGGACTGAGAATGGACCCTGGACAAGATGAGGTCGCAGCGCAATCCAATTATTTCGATATGCTACTGCAGCTGCGCAGTAAGCTCACCAACGGCGCTGTCGCAAAGCGGAGCTGCCGAGATGCTGGTATTAAATTCGGCCAATAAGCGGAGTGGTCAAAATGAAAGACCGTTATCTTCGTGTTAGAGGTATTATCTCGTAGTCTAGGGCTCGGTCGGTAATTCGAATGCGGTAGGTGAAGGTAAATAGGGCGATGTTGAGAATTGGCCAAGTTGATTCAAGAGGAAAACAATTTATCTGAGAACTTCTTAACAGGGAAGAATGGAAACTCGGGTCTCGCCTCCACGCATTCAATTACGTGGAACGTGGAGAGACCCTGACTGGACAATTATTTTTGGGTCTTACCTGAGGGAAGGCACGGCCAGTATTATCAACGATGTATATTGTAGACGAGGAAAGGACTGACGAACAACAAACTTGCAGATTACTAGACAAGGTCAAACACAATAAGAGTGACAAGAATACTTCACCTTGTTGCTTACATTTACCAAGTATCTTTGATATTGAACTACCCCTGAAACTACGAAGATAATACTTTGATCTCATCAGCAAGTTGCCGCACTGCCGTAACTTGAACTTCCGTTTTGATGTAAGGAGAATTGGAGTCAGCATGTGGAAGCAGCCGTCCCTTTTCTTAGAACGCCTGTGACGCACGAGCCGCAGTTAGTGCGGAATCAGATCTCTACGCCTTAAAACTAACTAATCGGACTTAATAACCTATAACGGGTATAATAATACTTATCAAGGAGATTCTGTCGCCAAGGAATAAGGGAGATAACAAAATAGGGTCTAACCAATGGGTCTAGCCAATTCATTTGACTACAGATTCCTCTATTCACCAAGCTCACCCTAAGCATGAGTTGAGACACCAATGCACCAGCAGCTCATTTGACTCGAGTCAAGTCACAACCACAACATCTCGATCGATATTTCACAAACTCACTGATGCACATGGAACCCAAAATGGTGCAATGTCCCTACTTACCGCTCAATGATATCCGTAGATTGCTCAAATTACACTCCAAACCCAGCCGGATGCGCAAGCTTCTGTTTGCCCGGCTGTGCATCTCTCCTGGATCGCAATTCGTCTCACCAAGCGAGATATCTCGCTGATCCCAAAGTCCTCACCAAGGACAGCCGACCAGTCAGGAAATAAAGTAGCAGAACAAGCATTTGAACAAGCCTTTTCTAGCGTTGCGTCGAAGAATCCGAAACAGGCCCAGAACAGGGGCTTGGAGGCCAAACATTGGCGGAGCTTTTCTGTTACAGCAATTCTCGAAACGTGCCTGTTGCAAATAATGGGTACCAGCTTGCGTGTCGGCGATCAAAGGAGCGTGATCGTCTATAAAGAGCGGAGCAAAAGGGGGATCCTGGGCATAGAACCCCTGAGAGGAAAACAAACCCTTTCTTTCGTCATGGAAAGAAAGGGAATACTTTGGCTTCTGGCATGACATGGGAGTACCAGATCTTGTGTAGCCGCCAAAATCGCAGCAACTCACGACTCGGTTTGTGTTTCGCATAAAGACTTGAGCAAACAATGCACAATCTTCTTTTCTCCGTTGTAAGTGCCGGGCCGTTTGATTTCATTACTGACGGGATTTCGGCACTTAGCAAGCTTCTAAGTGTAGTAGCATTGGTATGATGTTCGATATTATTGATTGGTGCTGGGATGTTGGAAAGACGTCATCCAAAGCATGTGGTGTCTATTATTTGGTTCCCGAAGTTCATCTTTTCTACCTGGACATCCATGAACAGGCAACGATTAGTGCTGGCGACATTGCCAAGTATTGTTATCGTTAGGAAAGGAAAGGGAATTGTTAATCTGGCATATTGACAGGATATTTGTGATAAGTCGGTAAAATGTTCATGTTGTTGGTTCTACAGTAGCTGTGCTTACCAACGATTCGTGATGAGAAATCTTACTGGCCAGGTCAGAGTATGCCCAGAACTCTCATTTAATTCCGTGCGGCTATTGAACGTTGTGAATCCTTCAAAGGTAGCTGTCAGCTGAAATCCATTGATTTTAAAAGACGGTCATTTTGCTGATGAAGCACTGAAGAGGTTCATGCATTTCAGCAAATGCCTCATAGAGACACACATACTCTCCTAGTTAACTCAAATCCTATAAGCCACAGCTGTACGAAGCTGAAAGCTCGCTAGACGAACAAAGTTTACCGGGGAGATATCGGAATTCAGAATCATGAACCGAAAGGGCGTCCTGTACAAAAGACAGCGAGTGACATTAGTCACATTTAGCTTAACTACAGTACATCATGTTGATGTCGGGCTATATCTCGTTGTCTATAAAGTCCGTATTCTTATCTAATCGAAGCGCTGTTTAGCCTTTGGTTTTGGCAGTTGATCACTGAAGGATTGTAGATGAATGCATGTAAGATGCTCTGTACTCCGTACCTACATCGTTCAATGAATGGTTGTCAGCCTTGGTGTAGGGTGGTCATCAGAGTAAGCATGATGAACCCAACCAACCATGACAGCTCGGCCCCCGCACCTTGTGCAGTGCCGAAGAGAGCTGTTGTAGCACTCGATGATCTAGATGTTATGCGTGATAAATGTAAACGTTGAGTTGGTGTTGTATATCATGGTTTCAAGTCATCTCGCACGAGCTGGATTATATCAGTATTGGGCTGTAATGGACTGCCAGGTCATGATGACGGGACAGGGACCTGGCTACTGGGGCATATGCATCATGTCCATTATTAATTCCGCTTCGGGTCACCGTAGAGCTTATGTTGGTGGAATTAACGTTGGACCACGTTCAATTTGTCAGCTCCTTTTTACCTCCGATATGACGGACGGGAGAGAGCTGTAGCGGAGTTGCAAACAGCCACAACAAGACGTTTAAAATCAACTTCCAAGAAATAGTTGAATTAAACTGGGTTGGCTGGCATTCTTCGAATAAACATTCATAGATTATTGTGTAGAATGATTTAGTAATGGCATCTAAAACTACAGGTCAAGCTTGCCACACCTCCGGGCTCTCGGCTGCTGTACATTGTCCGAGACTGCCGAATAGTGACCTAAGAAATAGTGAACAACGCCCCGCTCGTTGGCGGACTTAAGCCCTGTAAAGCCCTCGCGAAGGCATAATCAAAGACATGGCACATGAATGAGAAAAGACTGCCACCATTTGTAAGTCTAGGTTTCTTGGCTCAGAAGGAGATTCCGATCCGAGATGGAACATGAAAGATTCCATTACAGATTGAGTCTCAATATCAAGATCTATCAATGCCCAAGTTCGTAGTAGTTAGTGTACTAACCACAAAGCGAGCAATCTTCCGCGCGGTCGGGTCGCTTTCTTAACATATCTCCACCACGATCGGCGATTACCCACCTTTTCATGTCTTTCGTCCGGGGCGCGCCGTCTAAAGCCGCGGATATAACACAACAATTGATCTGTAATTGGGCTTTTGGTCGACTGCACTGTGCCGTGTGCTGTACAATCTCCCAGTGCCTCGGAAGATTGGCAAGCATGACAAAAACAGCTACGCCCTTGCTGGACCCCATTGCACTGCAGCTGAGATGTAGTTACCTTTTGGCGCGCGCCTTATACGCCCAAGCCAAGCTGTACTGTGTTGTATTATGTGCTGCTCCGTAGGGAGTAGGATGTAGTAATGGATCTCATTATCCGGCTCGGGTCCATGGTTTAAATACCTTGATTTACCCTACCTACCCAACCCTCACCCGATACTCACATCCTTCTTGTTTAATCAATTTATTTTATCTACTTTCAACTGATCATTTCAACAATCAATATATCATCAGTAGCCAAAAGGGAAAAAGTCAACATCATTAATAAACTTTGCCTTCGGGGTTCGGGAATTGCGAGGATACGACACGAACGCTCGCTCCATCCAAAACCGCTTACACAAGCCAAGCCAAGAAAGAGCCGACTGGGGACCATTTATTAGTCGCCGCCTCCCGCCATCAAATCCGATCAATAAATAGCCACAGCTCGACCATATTTTTATTACTTTTCGACTCGAGAGATTTCTCATTTTATTGAAATTAACACATCAACATACTTGGATGATATCATAAGACGTCAATACTTTTACTATCCGGATAACAACAAAAGACAGCCCGAGTGCGTCTGAACCGACAAATACTCACATCAACTACACCATATATATACATAACCTGAAAATGGCCACCGAGACCGAGACTTTATCCTTTTCACTACCAACGAGCACTGCTCCCACCGACGTTTCTGAGTCAACATGCATGCCTCACTCTACGCCCTTTCACCAACAACCTTCGGCATATCCGCCACAGAACATACCCGCCGAGTGGGATACTAGGATACCACCAATGCAAACACCTGCAACGCACGCGCAACAATTTTGTAGCGAGGGCTCATCACCTGGAAGCGGAAGCGGCTGTTTCAATGATGGTGGTCTTTTATACAGGGTCCAGGCTGAGCGAGAATGTCGGGAGGGACCCGGCAAGTAAGTTTTCCTAGCAATTGCACAATTTATTAGTGGATGTCGAATTGCTGACAGTGCTGTGGCTGGTTGTAGAACTGTCGAAGAGGCTTGCCAACGTTCGCTAAATCACTTTCCTTGCCCGGGACTCGCCTTTCCGATGCCAGCTCTCGATTTCGATTTTCGAATTGCGGTTCGTTTGAACCAAGACGCTGTCCATGTTGAGTCAGGCAACACCAAGGAAATCACTACCGTTGCAGCCGGTGTATGGTCCGGATCATTTGGCCACGGCCGTGTCATTGTACGTTATTTTTCCTCTTAACCCCTTGACTTTTGAGATTCTACGCTTTTGTCAAACTCGTGACTGACTGAGGAGGATTTTATGTATGGTTTATAGGCAGGCGGTTATGATCTTGGTCAAGCACGCGGTTTTCGGCCCATGAGGCTTGTTGAGGGCGCTTTTGTCATCCAGACAAGTGATGAACAGCCCGCATTGTAAGTCATTTTCCTATTTACGAGCCAATCATGTTCGGGTAATAACTAGTGAAATCAGACTCGAAATGCGCACGCGTGGTTCCCTCTCAGGACCCGCAGACGTGCTTGACACTCTATTAAGCCCCAAGGCACCGAAGGATATTGACCCACGACGCTACGGCTTCCGCATGTTCGCGACTTTCAAGACGTCCGACAAGCGATACGCTGAGATTGTCAACTGTGGATTATGGGTGGCCAGTGGTGCCTGGCGTGGCGAGCACTTGGTTATTGAGTAAGTCTTTGACTCACCAGACCACATGAGCATGGCTAACTATGACACGCAGCGCCTACCGTGTTACATAAAATCTCCGTCACAACCGGGAGAACTTCAGATAAGAAAGACTTAGCATTGCATATGGGGTCTAGCGGACCTCCGGCGCGGCACAGGGCACAGGAGTTAGGATTTTGTCACCCGCGTCAAGTTTTGACCGGCACGTGGAAAGGAACGAATAGGACTGAATGATGCATCAAGAGGCGCAGATATCTGGTGATTTTATGATCTCTTCTTCCTCATTTAGGCACAGCGATGAAGTGATTCGATCCTGTGCCTGTTTAAACCACACATCTATTTAGCGCCACAATTTATAATAATTCAACACTTCCAAGTACATATTGATTCTGGTCTCATACAAGCAGTCTCACTGCTCACTTTCATATAATATCCGAATCGAACAAGGAGTTTTTGATGGATTAACAAGCAAACACCATCTAATTCTCCTTGGCGGCTATTTTAAGCCAAATACTCGAGATAAAATTCCCGTCCAATCATACCCAACTCTTATCACCATTAGGATTTTGGCCATATGTCAGACGGCTTTTGATTTGATTGATTCATAATCACCGTCTCGCAAAGCTGACCTAGATCATCCGGATCGACGGTCTTCCAAAGGACCTTTTAACTTGTCCAACGACCGACTCGACCCAGCCTTCGGATCTCGATACTGTCAGATTTGATCATGGTCCTGTGGATCATGCTTGCGTATCCGCGCCTTCCGACTCGGACGCCGTGGAATTTGTTTTTAGTTCTCGAGACTGAATCGGAATATCTGTCAGCGAGAGCACAAAGCTAAACAACAAGGTAGGGATTCGCATATGCAAGGTAACTGACCTGGTAGATCGGATGCGACACGCCCATGCTGTCGTGCACCTAGATCCTTATCACCATGCCTGCGGAGCTATCTCACTTGAGCTTAATCTGGACCTCCAAGCAGTTGAGCTTCCTTAGGCGGCTCTCGTCCTCCTCATCTCCTTCGGTTACTACATCATCGATGGTGCCAACAGTGCCCGTTTTAATCTCCACCTCGCAGTCACCCTCCTGCTCAAACCAGCTTGCGAGGGAAAGTGTCTTCTCAATCGCCTTTCCGGCCCCTAAAACTGTCACAACACCGCTGTCGGGAGCACGACCGCTAGTCCGCTTAAGACTCTCGACACGCGCATGCAGCGACGCGTACTTGGGTGCCGCGTCGGTCTTTTTGAGTGAAGCGTCGAGCTGCTTGCGAGCACGCTTGACGAGTGCCATGAAAGGTGTTTTAGAAGACACGTAGATAATCCGGGATTTAGATGATGCTGGAGCCTGACGCCTGGTTAAGGGGCGTTTTTCGACACGGGCGCCTGCAGAAGTGTTAGTGCCGTTATCCTTAGAATGTTGTAAAAGCCCATACCTTCTGATATTGCCGGTAGCTTAGTTAGTGTGCCATTGACCTTCTTGGGGCCATTGGTAACTTTGGTTGAAGACATCGTGTTGTTTTGTTGTGAGATATGGTTGCCTAAGGCGGGTGTAGACGGATGAGTATTGAATTGATCAGAGGTAGAGAGACTATAAGGCCTGTTGCCTATAGAAATCTGCCTTTCAGTCGTCCAAAGTTCCTTGTTGATTATGGACAAGTGTCTGGTGCTGTTTCGATATGTTTTATTGTGAGTAACGGTTAATGTGACAGCCAAAGAAAAGAAAATCTTATGAATGAAAGTTTCTTGAGATACGTTCACCCCACTACCCGCGATAGTTCTTCATGTACGAAGGTCAACGCAAGTAATAAAAAACAGTTTCTTAAATTGGCAGTAGTCTTGTTTGAAAGAGAATTGTTTTCTTAATTTCTAATGTACTCAATTCCACATGTTGTAGGTTTTCACTTCTCGGTCTTGAGATCACTTAAAATTAGAGGTAAGCTGTATCAACGCCACATGTGGCGCAGCTGTCTGCACCCTTAACTCTCTAGCGCTGCGACAGAAAGACGTCACTCCAGGCGCAAAGCTCACCTGCTCTCGGGTCCTTTTGGGCTATTCCTTGAAATCCAACTCGTCCATAGCTCAACATCACCTCACCATACAACACCGACTTGATGGCTGCCTGCGCTATTCAATATTCAGTACTCATCAGCTAGGCATCTGTTCATCATGTCTATTGCAATCTGGCCTCCCGTTTCGCCCGGAGAGCTCAGGCTTAAAGCCTCCGAAAGCCAGGTACATCCAACCCTCTCGATTTGCGCAAAGCGAGGGAATTGAAACACTGGACAACATGCTGATCTACTTTGACAAGGCGCGCGAGTTGGAATGGATCGTCAACGAAACGCTCGAGCTATGTCGCGATCTCAAACATGGCTTGGAGGATTGTTATGCGCTCCTCGCGCCGATCGATCCCGGCAGTACTCTCGTCATCAGCACGCCGCGCAACGAAAAAGTAAAGGGGACGCTCACGCGTGTCGGCACACGCATCGTTAAAGGAGTAAGTATATCCATTGAACCCCGTGCTTCCCTCGTAAGCTGCGCCAGACTTTTCGTTGTGTGCTGACGTCTTTTGATCGCAGACAATACATCTTCAGCTTCGAACGATACCCCCACAGACGATGTCGCTGTCGCAAAACGAGGCCATTCATATACAGGGCCTTGATGCTCTACATAACCATCTTAACCAGTCCATCGACTTACTCGCTATAACCTTGTCTAGACCACAGGACGCTCGCTCTCTCGCCTCTACTCTAAGCGTTCTCGCCGATTCTATCAACGACTCTTCAATTATCCTCAAGGGCCCTCCCTTGACGGATTCGGATCCTGCTTGGCAGATGTGCTCAAGTCCGCCGTACCAATTTACTCCTTCACTTGGACCAAACCTTAGCTTCTACCTCGGACTGCAAGAAAGCAGCATAATTCTCTGGCTACGTGCCCTCGAGCCCGTCCATGCCCCTGTCCATTTTGGCACCAAGCTTGGTCTAGCATTCGGAACTGTCCGTCGCCTGGAGCATGACGAGATGGACACTGTATTCCGCTACAACACGCAGGGGTTTAATGTTGGTGGCTCGATGCGGGGCAGTGCCCGCCATACCCCGGAGCCAGGATCATCAGCGGCTGGCGTGAATAGCAATGATGTTCAGGAAGTCTATGTCCGGGAAAAGGTGCGCGTCGAAAGTGCAGATCCGAGCCTCATATCCATCCAGTCCAAGCTTAGCTACCTTAGTCACATGCTGGGCCAAGCAAGAAGGAACATTGCAGAGGTCCTGAGCGTAGACTCGTAGGAAAGAGGGGAAAGGCCATGTGAGCGGCTTTGTATGTAAATTGATTGGATACCCCGGCGTTGTAGTAAGAGCGACTATTATTGGTTATGATTCTTTAGATTCGCTTCATTCAGATGATATTCATGGGTTTTCGTGGTTAATCACATTCTTGACCATCAAATTTGGAGGTGGTTCTAGTTTCATTGAATTTATAGAAACAAATAATACATTTGTACATGTAATCCATGATCCACGTTTCCTCACGCCTTGGCTAAAGCGGCAAAGAACACCAATTCAAAAGAACAAACTATGTAGTGAGACTCATCTTGGACATGACATACGTCCCAATAGGCCAGATCCGGGCCAATGGTCCACGCTTCATCAACCGGACACTATTAGAAGATATCGCTGACAGATCCATTGTTGGGCGTTTATCGGACAGGGGACCAAGGCATGGGAACAAGAATCTTGGACTTCATGCTTTGGATAAGAGGTACTGTCTTGTGGACAGTGTCGCTCCATCCCTCAACCTGCCAGCTCTGCTCGCGACGGTTACGGCGCTCCTCCAGGTTGGCAAACTGCCATAGGTGGTGGACAGTGTTAAGGTCACCAATTTGAACGAACCAAGCACCAACACCTTCCATGACCTCACGACGAGCCTTGAGTCCTCGTCGCCAGTGTGTCTCCCATTCGAGCAAGTTGCCAGGGTGCAATGTGTAGGAGCGCAGCTCAAAGATGCCACCCAGTGATCGTGGAGGAGTTGTTGGCCAGAAGGAGAACTCTTGCATGAGGGAGATCTTCTTGCTAGTAATCAAGCCCTTTAGCTTGCTGTCGAACTCGGAAAATTCAGGGTGGTGTGTCATGTTGTATCGAGACTGGTGGTAACCCTCGTACTTTTGGTACTCCCAAATATGGACTTGTCATGATTAGCGACTGGAAAGCTTTGCGAAATTAACTTGTACATACCAAAGGTATCGCAATCGCCGACCTCTGTCCTCCAGCTTCCGACCAGATTCACCTTGTTCTCTGGAGCATTCGCCATCTTGGGATACCACTTGCCGACGAGTTCGACATATTCGTCAACCTTGTCTGGCTTGACTTCGTGCTGAACGATTGAGTGGACGTACTTGCCACGGGCAAGGACTTGACTGAAGCTTGCTTCAAGCTGGGCATCGAGCTCGCGACCCTCCTTGGTACCGTAGATGAGATTCGTCAAAGGGCCTGCCTTGCGGGATGGCTCGGGTTCTTTGGCCTGTTCGGTTTGTCCTACAGTGTCATTCTGTGAGCCTTCGTCCGACTTGGTGAACGGAACGTTAGCTGGCTGCGGATGGGAGGGCAACGAACTGGCTTCTCGCTTCTTTTGTGCTTCTACCAAGTGCTCGCGAAATTCCTTCTGCTTCTTGCTAAACTTATCGACCTCTGCGTGTGTAGGGTTGACATCTCCGATGGAAGGGGTGCGGCCGCTAAGAGCAGCAGTCGAGCTCAGAGCTCGCACACTGGTGCGCGGAGTGACAGTGGCGGCGCGTGCGAACTGGCGACTGAACATTTTCGGGAATGATAAAAGGGATTGATGGATGAAAGTGTAAAGTCGTTTTAAGCTGATGAGGCGCAATGTGTATCTAATAAAAGCTGACACAAGGCGCGGGGAGAATGCGGGCGAACTTTCAGGGAGCAACAACGTCGGAGATCAACGTTGGAGTCGTGCGTGAGAGACAGGGGGAGATGCTGAAACAAGGAAATACACCGAGAGTTTAGACGAGGTTGTAGTAGCAGAACGGAAGCAGAAGGTCAGATGCGGCACAATTGGTGGCAACCTAAACAAAGGCTGGTTGTTTGGTGCGGGCAGAGAGCACAGCAGAAGCGGGAAGGCAGGCGTTTAAGCGCAAAGGTGGTATCAGAAGCAGTCTTGGGTTGAGATTGCCCTGGTAATAATAAGGAGGGCGAAGCAGGTGGACGATTGGGCAACCGAGAGTTGGAGGGACGGAACGGTTTTTCGGTTGAACGCCCAGGAATGTATAATTCACTTCACCCCGCACTTTTTGGGTGAGTTTTTTTCGGTTGCTTTTGTTTATGACGATTACAGATAATGAACAATGGTAGAATAGGCTGATTTAATTGAGAGAGATAAGAGGACAGGTCGCAAAGGTTTAGCAGTACGTACACTACCTTCTTAAAGCTGGAGCTCAGGGAGCTATCTGATGATGTCACTCCACCAAACATCACGTGTAAAAGCTTAGCGCGCCATAAGAATGCGGGGTTCGGCTGGGCCTGCTGTTCCTCAGCTCTAGCAGCAGTACGTACCTTTCTTACTCAGCCAGTCTCGAACCTTGATATGAAGCCTTACAATTTAGGCATACAGAAAACGTTCCGGGCTCGGCTTCGGCAGAACCCGCTCGGAGCTTTGCTGGGTCTGTCGTTCGGAAAAAGGCTCGTTCTGTAGCAATCTCAATCTCAAAGCACCCGTTGCCGACGTCCAGTCCATCAAACCGAACCTACCTCCCGCGATACCCACGAAATCCGTCATCATGTCTTGGCTCGGTGTTCAACCCCTCAAGAAGTTCAACGCTCCTTTCTGTAAGTTCAATTGCGACTCTCCCGACTGCGCCATCGCGAATCTGTCCCGCTGACTCTTCCCTATAGTGAAGCCTTACTGGCCTTTCTTCGCTGCCGGTACGTCAAATTGCGCAGCTCGCCCGACGAATCCGCTCTCCCCTCAAGCTTTCCCCCGCGCTTCCGACTTCGATTGATGCATCAATGAGATTTGGACAGCAATTAACCCGGAAACAGGTGTTGTCATTGCCTACGGTGTCAACTCCGCCCAGAACGCCATGATGAACTGTACGATCCCTATATAATGAGTTGCCCAGAACTACGATTGACCAGATATAACAGCCGCCGAGTTCAAGAACGACCCCCGCAACCCTAACGCCAAAACTGGTGGCCACTAAGATGTTGGGAATAGGAAAAGGGATTTCGTCCAAGCCGGCAAGCATAATTGATCCGCTCGAACGCGAGGTTAGGGCCCATGAGATGGAATTGTATCATAGAATCGCAAAAGGGGCTTAATTGACCTACACAACGATCTGTACGACTTGCCCACGGGTGCAGTTGGCAGCAACGAATACGCTCAAAAGTCCGGATGTTCGAATGCTGAGAATCAGGAATCAATCTGGTTATGTGATATGTGAAAAAACCCTTGACTCACTCTGAAATCTACCATCATGCTCCGTGGTTTATTTCTATTTTTGTGCAAGGAAGATTAACTATGGCCCAATACTCACCGCGACATACTGGCAATTACGCTCTTGTGGACGTAGCGGTCCATCATCATGGCCACATGATTCATTGCGTTCTCTGTTTTGTGATTTGATGAGTGACTGCAATACTATTTTCCAGTCCATATTTGGGCTTTTCGATTAGCCTTATATAATAAAGTTTAAGCAATTTGAACGTCATGCATAGTACATATAACAGTGACATCAGTGGGTGTAAATGTGGAATTAAGAGTGTATAATAGACAATACGTTTTCACCGATATGCCATGCTATGTATAGAAGAAACATACCCTTGGCCAAGCGTTTTCAGAACAAAACATTACTTTGGTGGGGATGGAGTGATATGTCGAAGCAACGGCCCGACGCCCTTAGGAAGACTCCTGACAAATCATTGTTATCGCTACACTCACTCACTCCACGTCGTCGACTCATACGGCGAAACAACATCTTATAACACCGATTTAAGTCCGCCTCGCTCACCAACACTCCGTCTTTTCCCCTTAGATGCGTCTGCTCATTAGCATATTTTCTGCCGCTAGACCGATTGCTACCGCAACTTCAACCACAAGAGTCTCATCTTTCAGATTTCCTTCATCTGTGTACAGAGCTTGCCTATCTACAATGACTGCCGCACCAACACCCAAGGCCAACAGCAATGGAGGAAAGAAGGAGGTCAAGATTCTCATGCTTCATGGTAAGTTGAGGATGCATTTAAAAAGATGAAGGTCTGCATAGTCTGCATGCATGTCAATCGTCATATCTCAAACTAGCCCATAAACATCTCAAAACTCACTCACTGACATCCACCAGGATACACACAGTCCGGCGACCTCTTCCGTGCTAAGACCCGCGCTCTAGAGAAGACTATAGTCAAGCTTCTCAACCCCATCTCACTTCTCCCTGTCTTTCTCTACGCCACGGGTCCCAACCGGCTTAGCCCGGAAGACATTCCCGGCTATCAACCTCCTGAGGAGCCGCAAGCCGAGGACTACCAGCCTGACACCTGGGCTTGGTGGCGCAAAGATGAAGCCTCTGGGAACTACCGTATGCTAGATGAGGGAATGGCGACCGTTGCACAGGCCATCCGTGACTCTGAAGGCATTGATGCGGTGTGCGGTTTCAGTCAAGGTGGTGCTATGGCTGCTCTCGTTGCGGCAGCGTTAGAGACTGAGCGTGCTGTACCAGAGGGTAAAGAGGGAGACTGGGCGAGAGGGTTGAGGGAGGCAAACTCTGGAAACCCTCTCAAGTTCGCCGTGTGTTACTCAGGCTTCTGGGCGACTCCCGACTCACTACAGTTCTGCTTCGAGCCCAAGATCAAGACCCCCACATTGCATTTTGTAGGCAGTCTCGATACAGTGGTTGATGAAAACCGAAGCCGCGCACTTTCAGATCGTTGCGAAGACCCTCTCGTGCTTATCCACCCTGGAGGCCACCACGTACCTGTGAGCAAACAATGGGCAGCACCACTGGCTGGTTTTATCAAGGAGCATGGCCAAGACAAGGAACCCAAGTCGGAGCTGTAATTATGGACTGTTTAGATGATACATATAGACTACGAATAGATAGACTCAAGTAGACTGAATGTCATGTCATATCCTCATCCTGGGGACTATCTAACCTGTATAATACAGAACACCCATACCGTCATGATGATGAACCGCTCTATCCATTACTCCGAATCCTTATTTGGCAGGTTGAATCCGTGCCATCATCTCCTCCTTGGTGATAAGATGATCAATTCTCTCGAGCAGGCCCAGAAGGCTCTTCATGTTGTGACTCCATTCGTTGAGAACATCGTCAGCATCTCGAGGCTTAGCAAAGTTGACGATTCGTGCGGGTCGATCAATCTTGGCATAAACGGTCTTAGAGGTCACAAGTTCGCTAATGTACTTCTCGGTCTCGTCCTCCGTCAAATCCAGTAGTTGAGTAAGGCGGCCCATCTGGATGCGAGTGTAGTACTTGGCGACAACACGCACGTTATGCTCGATCACTCGCTTTCGGAGATCTTGCCATCGCTTGTATGCCTTGTCGTCTGAAGACTGACCAGGCTGCACATCAAAGACGTCAGTACTGCAGAGGTGAGGTCCAAATCTCTTAGAAGTTTCGGGCCATCGCATCAACTCATGCACAGTAAAAAGCCGCAGAAGTTCGGCTTCCGCTGGGACTTCTGAGTTACGGGTGTCTTTGTGAATTCGGTGGAGGAGGTCGTGCTGCTCATTGTCATAGGGAGCTAAGATGACAAAGTAGATGATGCGCTGAAGGACCTATGATGGACGTTAGTAAACCTTATTGACGCTAGAAGAGATTGACATACGGGGCGAAGCTTGGCTGGATCCTCTTCAACGGCTTCTGTGTCCAAAACCTGGCGGTAGTGCTTGCAGACATCGAGGTACTTCTCCTCGTGCTTGGCAAGAATGATTTGCTGTTCGTAGTATCGCAGCTTGAGATCGGTTGTGTCGTCTTCCTTCTCCTCGGGTACCTCCTCACCACGGGCGATCTTCTTCTCTCGCTCCTTTTGCTCCTTCTCAAGCTGCTCGGCTGTCTTCTTGGGCTTGCGAGAAAGGTATCGGGTGCTGATCTTACGTCCAAGAATGGCGGCCTGTGTCCAATCCTCGCTCTCAATGCATAGCTCAACCTGGGACAAAATAAACTCGGTCTTTTCCCTTCGGTCCATGGATCCAAAAGTCTCGACTTGTAACTCGCAAAGAATCTCGGTGGCGGACTTGAGGTCACCCTGTTTCTTCTTGATATCAGAAAGGATCTTGGTGACACGAGCTCGCTCGACTTCAACAAAGATCTTGCCCTCTGTGACTGTTCGTAGGGTTTCGATGACGGAGAGCTTGGTCTGGAGGTCGGGGGTGTCGTCGAGGAAGCCCATGACGGTCTGAACCATCTTGGTGATGGCTTGCTTGAGCTGGCTGTGCTTCTTGGACATGACCAAGGTCTGGTCGTTCAAAAGACTCCAGTCGCCTGCATTTTTACATAGTGTAACAATTGCGATCAGTACTCGTGATGTTGACGCAAGATCGGAGGCCTGGTCCTGGATTAGCGGAGAAGAGGATCGAGAACGCAAGTGCGTACTTGTCGGGTTTGCTTTTCGAGAGCAGCAAGCTTCTCAATGGCGCCTTGGAGGTTGTTTGACTGTAGAGAATGTCAGCTGGAGCTCGTCTTGGCAATTCAAAGCTCAAACACCCACCGCAGCCAGCTTCTCAGCTTCAGGGAGCTGCTGATCAACCTCCTTCGAGAAGTCCTTCTCGGGCTTCAAAACTCCGTCAGACATGGTGGCTTTATTCGCGTTCTGCTTCCCTCAAGATATGTAATTGTTGATAGTATCGGTGTTGAGGGAGTCGGGTTTGAGAATTGGAGATATGTGGTGTTGATGCTAATGGGTCAAATATCGTGGGACGTGTTTGGTTTAGGTCGTCCAAGCTGGTCGATTCAGTGACGAGGCTCACGCAAGAGGCTCCTGCCTGCCTTTCCTAGGTCCCCAATAAGGCGAGCAGCCAGAGCTGGAATTTAGTGGGACCGATTCCGGAACCTTCGTCATTCAATTTCACGGTCACATGACCTCCACTAACAACCTTAACTACCCCTTAGACAAAAAGGGAGTTTTGCTTCTTAACAAAGACGAATCATTAAGCTACAAGACCGATCCAATTTCAAGTCTTGAGATAACATTGGAGGCACGCGATAGTGGGACAATGTAGAACGAAACAATACCCTGACTGAGAATGATTGATCACAGATACAGGGTAGTCGAAGCTCTTTGGAACAGTAGGTGTTTACTTGAATTATTCAAAGTTACAATTCCGCCCAAACAACCGTTGTATCTAAATCCAAAATACGGGGGTTCTTTTTATGCTATTTGCATTGATCTATGACCGTATATTGTTCACCAGAGTACCAATGTGTCAGGGTATGAATTCGAAAAAGCCGGCGTTGAAACCTTGACAAATTCAAATAGTATCACAGTCGACAGTCTACTTTAGTTACCGTGTTGAAAGTACAAGCTTGCATGAATATGTATTGGGTTTTAAAACGTATTCGTTACTAGGTGAGTGTCACTAGGCCTGGGTTCATACCGAGTTTACAACAGTACAAAAGGCGAGCTAGATGAAGTCTTGCTAGGCTCATGGAGCGGGCTTTTTTCAGCCACCACTTGTGAAAGGAGAAACTAGGACTCACATCATTCAAAGTAGGAAGGTCTACCACAACCTGCTGTGGTGAGTCAAGCCAAAACTTCTCCCATTATCAGACGGTCATGTTCCGAAACTACTGAGAAGTCATGGCTTTTCACGAAAGCTGGTGATTTCGAAACACTGGTAGTTTACCATTCCAGGCTGGATCCAACTCGCGAATATATAGAGTGAAAAAACATAAGTTTCTTCGACTCAAAATCTAATGGAGTGTTGCAGAGATGCTAGAAGGTAATCAAACACGTGCGCCGGCATGTGGACTTGATCCTTGCTCTATACCTTTATAAACTAGATTGAGAGTTAATATCTTAACAAAGAGTGATGCAGTGGCATACGCTTCCTATACTCCTAACAAAACCTAAGAACTCTAAAATCCGCACTTATAAACTCTCTCACCCACTGCCTGCTCTTCGTCTTTGCCATTTTGGGGTTCGAGTCCATCCATAGCGACCTTTTCACTCTCCGACTAGGTATTCTGAAATCAGAATCTAAAAATTTCTTGTTACGCAATACAAGGACTTTTAGAGCGAGATCCTCCATAGACGAGTAATATCGGTTACGTAGCTGATCGTATGAATATATTCATTTGAGAAATCTGCGAGAAAATAGATTCCGAGATAAAAACATGTGCGTGAGTTTCTAATACGGTTGCAAAGTGTTGAGTAGGAATCGAGCCCAAAATACCTCCCCTCTCCCGCGGAGGTAATCGTCCAAACGATGCTTGCGATCGTAGTCATTTCATGTACAATCATTGACACTTAAAGCCTCTGTTAACTTAAATAAACATCTAATAAAGCACTATAGGCTGAGATGGGAAAACGTTTATAGTGATTCTTCGTATAAATCATAATGTTACTATAGATCCTCTCGAAGACTATCGCTCGTTCCGTACTGTGAGGAGTGATTTATGCTACCATCTTCTTGATATAATACCACTTGAAGGTCCCTTTGAACATTTGTAATGAGAACCAAGTCTCGCGAACACATTGGAATGGTGCACTAATAATAGAAATAAGATACACCCAGTCAACTACAATAGTTTGGACCTAGAACCTCAAGTTCTTCTCATGCCAGGGCTTTGATCGCCAAAATTTTGTCAAGCCCACATGGCAAAGGGCGAACTCCGGGCCAAATACGTGCTTCTATAAAAATGATATCATAATTCTTAATATGTTTTTGGTTTCGTCTCCATCCAGTAACCGCTCTAGTGGTATGCCCTTGATCACCCTGTCAAATCGAGGTTCCTGTCTTTGAATAATGTGGCTTTAACTTCACATAATGACTTCCAGTCCTATAACAATATACTCAAAACCATTGCAACTGCCCGAACAGTTGGTTTCTAAATCTCAAATAGGTGATTTGACAACACCACAACTTCACAATCCTTGGAACCAGAAATGACTCTACTCGTATACCATTGAGATGATTTCAGTGGCAGCGTAATGTTCATCTTTCGAGAAAAAAAAACTAAGTTTACCTTTTCCTGAACCTAGCGACTCTATATTCTATGTTTGAAGATGTCGGAATACCGAGACGTGATTTCAAACTCATGTGATTCTGTTCTATGCCGTAGGGTTTCAGAACGTAAATATCGAACATCTTTTGAACAGTCACTTAGACAGGAACCAAGTAGCTTTACAGAGCTAGACAATCCAGATTGCGATCTGGTAAATTGTACTATGAACTGTGTTTCTACCAAAGAGCTTGCAAAGCCAAAATTAAATGAGAAATCTAGAGAGTCTAGTGGTATTATGACAACAGTCATCTGAAGACAATGTATATTCCCATATAGATCGCTTCTAAAATATCCCAGTAGCTTGTACTTTAACCCAGAACTGCTTAAGTTACGGTTTGCAGACTATCTAAACATCAAGTACCTAGTATAAGACCAATGCTTTGCTCACTGATAACCTTGTCGGAGCTATATGGGAGGTTGTAAGGCTTGTGGATTGCCCGAAGCGCAAAAGTTTTTGCTGCACTTGCAAAATGCTGTCAAATTAGTAAGGTTTGTAGATACAGCTAGACTTGCAAACTCAGCAGCTCACATTTACAGCCGCCTTTATTCGTCTTTATCAGAAATTAACAAACATACGACTCTTCGCCCCCAAGAACTAATGGATAGGCTATAGTAGAAATGAATGAATAACTAAAGTCTTACTCATTCTTACAAGACAAAGCAATGTATCATGGCATGAGGTTGAATTGTTATCGGTGGAAGTTCGGCAGACAAGTCGTAGTGAAGACCAATTAACAGACTGGCCCGTGCGTCAATCGTCACTCGACCGTTGTTTATCATCTTTCGCGCTCCGCATCGGGTTGAATCAAAACACTCAAGACATCTCTGATAAACCTCTGTACATAATTGCCATACTCGAACCCTAACACGCCTTTTATATTCAATAGGGAAAGGAACTGTACTGGAAGCTGTACTATAACCTTGGAATATTTCATCACTGGTTTACCCCGCGACGACAACACCAAAGACACCCCACGATCAATTATCATCATGGCTGCCGCCAATCTCTCTACTTACTCAGACTGCGTCTCATCACTACGCACATCTCTCAAGTTTCTTGAATCGTCCGTTGAAACACTCGATAATGGCGTCTCCGATTTCCCACGTCTAGTCAATGTCCTCAAGACCGTCCGCGTAAGTCTCCTCGCCTACCTCATACCTCAAATTATTGTGCTAACGCAGCTCAGCATTACGAACTCATCCCCCAGCCCACACTCGCAGCAGCAGAATCATCACTCCGCGACGAAATAGGACCCTATATTGCCCTGCTACTCTCCCGCGCGGACTCCCAAATCGAGCGCCAGGAACGCCGCATCGAGACCCTCAAAGCCCGCGCAGAACTGCAGCAGGGCCGATTATCGCGCCCAGACAACAACTACGACGAATACGGTGGCAAGTCTAAGAAGCAAAAAACCGGCAGTCGTAAACTCACAACCGAAGAGAAGCTTCGCGCGAGAGCAGTCCGGCAGCGCAAAGAAGCTCTGCGGTACGGTGTGGAACGACTAGAGCTGGAGGTGCTGCAAAAGGAGAGAGAGCTCAGGAAAAGATTGGAAGGACGATGAGCCTAACGAATTAACCGATTTGGAAAGCAACCTCAACCCAATTCATCCTGGCAATAGTTGAACTTGTGCGGCTCAAAGATCTTCCCAAGTGGAGAGGACGCATCATGCCTGAGACAGAAAAGCCGCATCGCATTGATCGACGCGCAATCCGGATGAGATCGGCACCGAGCATGTACCGGCTTCATCGACATTGCAAATGCCGATCTTGATAATGATAAGATTTGCTCGGAATTCGCAGGCCGAGGCATCGTGTTTTGAGTTCAAGGCAAAGCCAACCGCAAAACACCAATGGCTGGCTGAACCAGCTTGAACACGAGAGCTGTGCCTGTCTAGTCTCGGAAAGGCTAGTTTTGGGACTGTTATTGATACCCCATTTTTCGTCTTTTGACGAATCTGCCACGCGTTCCTGAGTAAAACCTTAACTCCTCAAGCGAAGGACCCAATAGTCCCCGCCAGGTGCAGATCCTAAATTAGCCCAAATTCACAACTGATATCACATAAGAGTCGGTTCGCATTCTAATAATCTTCATGTTTACTAGGTCAAGAGGGATGCTCCGATCCACTCTCGCTGTAGCTAGCTCGCTTGGTACTGTTCGTAACTGCACCTGACTGACCCAGACCTTGAACCAAATGCAACACCTTCCATACAAAGCTCAGCCCGCCTGCTGCTTTACATATACAATGCATCGTGTTGTACCTTGTCGTAGTGGGCTTGCTGACTCGACGTTGCCAGCGGCCATGTCGTTGCTTCGCCAGCCGGGGGTTAAACAATAGGCCGAGTCAAGTCTCGTGATTCTCGGGGTAATGGATAAAACAAAGAACAATAATTGAGGACAATAGAAAAGAAGACATTCAAAGTGAGAAAGAACTGCCTGGTTGCAGGCGCCGTGATCCGGTTTATAACACAAGGGGTTTTGTTCGTCCCAAATATACTCCATCCAACATATTTCCCATCCCAGTGCTGAAACCAAATCGCCGAGTCGTGACTCTAAAAACGTTAAAATGCGACAAACAATGAACGAGCAGCCCCTACGTGGGTCTGACGGTGTTCGACGGACGTAATCTCGCGCCTCATCGAACGGGTATCCCAGGGAATCCATACATGGATCGTTGCTCATAACAGGATGAGGTAGTTGCTGGGTGCAATACCCGTCTCGCCGCTCTCCTTGCGTGCCTGCCACCATCTTCCGCTGACGTCCGACACCTCCAAGATCTCATGCTTGGAGAAAGAAATCTCGTTGGCGTCGTCGGGGTTAGCTTCGTAGCTGTAAATGGCTTTTGCTCGATAAGGGTATTCGGTAGGTGGCACGACCTCGGCGTCGTTGCCGGGAGAGAGGCCGGGCTTGGATTGCGGTGGTTGTTGTTGCATGCCGGAGTTGGTATAGCTTTGGGGAACTGCAGAACCGCGAGGTCCGGCGATACCACCGATAGGTGAGGGGTTCTCGAAGCCGTTGAGCTGGGCAGAAGTGTACATTTGAGGAGGCTGGACGGAGTTGGAGGTCTCGGGGCGGCCACCGTAGGCGTTCATCGTCGATCGGTGGATGGTGGTGGACTCTTTTGCGAGGGCGAATGAGTCAAGGAAGGCTCGAGGAGTTGAAGATGGGTTGGATCCAAAGTAGAAAGTCCAGATTACCTGCAGATTGTTAGGTGTGCGCTGGGGCTTGAGATGAAGCGGGACTTACAATAACCATGGCTAGCAGAATGAAGCCAGCTGAGGCAGCCTCACGTGCGCCGCTATTAGAGTAAAGAAGCTGGTTGATACTGGACGAAACCAGGACGATGCCGGCAGCAAGATAACCGGTAACAGCGACATGATACGTATGGACAGCGTCGCTTCCGATCACAACAAAGACGCCAGTAATCAGGCATAGGCAGTAAATGCAACTCCACCAGACAAATGTCGGAAAAGGGTCGTTCTTAGCAAGATCGTCATCACTGTTTTGTTGTATTCTACCAATAATGCAGGCAACAAAAGTGATGAACCAGGCAAGCTACGGATGTGGGTTAGTATAGAGTAGTATTGAGGTGCAGGGAAGAGACGCACCGTGCTGATGGATAGCGTGGCTAGAGCAAAGGGGTCGCCAAGAATATTGCTCATCTGGATTCCCTTGCGTTGGCCGTACATTCTTGAGTTGTCCATTTTCTGAAGCGAGGGAGAGCTGAGAGAGTACGATGGCATAAGAACGATATCAGCCCGAATGGCGATTTGAGGTTGGTCGCGAGAGGAGAAAGCGCTTCTTTTGTTGCAGCCGATTGGTTGTTGTCAAACAGACGTGATGTTGTAAGGGACTCGATTGCTACCGGAGCATTCGGCGGTGAAAATGCGATTGGAAAGTGAAGAAAGAGGCTGTGTTCGAGTCGATTCGTTGTGGTGCGAAGTAAAGCGAAGCAGTGTCGATCTTCTGTATGAATTCGGTAGTCGTAAGACGAGCGGATGGTCGCGACAAGTCGATAGAGAAATACAGTAGTAATAATGGAATCAAGTTAAGGAATAGAAAAATGAGTGGAATGATCCAAGCCCTCGGACAAGATAAAAAACAAAAAGAATTATCTGTTGGTGAGCGGTTGGGATCAGTGGGAGGGAAAGAAAAGAAGGAGAGGGCGGAAATGATTGAATTGAACTGAATGGAACGGTTTGAGATGGGAAGAGAATGAACAGATTGGATGGATGGGATGTGCTCTCTGCGGCAGGTGGGAAGGGGGAAAATGGCACGCGGAGACAAGGGGCAGGTCCAGTCCAGTCCAGTCCAGTCCCAGTCTAGTCCAGTGAAAGACCAGGGCAGGGGAAGTAGGTTTCCTTCCAACGAATACAGAAAGCTCAAAGATGCTTGATACTGTTCTGTATTAGTTGAAGTGATTGATTGGTCTTGGCGTAAAATATGTGTGTATTGCAATGTAATACAACTATTGAAAAAGTTGTAAGGTTGAGAACTGTCGATGATTGTAACAATAACAACAGCTCAGCCGTGTGCAACTCGCGAGAAATGCGCGCGGTTGGCAATAAAAACAACACAATGCAGCGTAACACAGCACAACCAGTGGCTGTTGAATTCGGTTCAGGGCTGAACAAAAGCCACCACAGTACTGGGACGAATAAGAATAAAGTAAGATCCCTTTTGGTAACCAGACCAGTAAAAAAAGGTACCCGAACCGGATCTAGGGACTGTAGGTAAAAAAGGTAAGGTGGTAACGGATTTTATGTGACACAGTCACAAGTAAGACAGACGGGATAAGCACGGAATCAGGGTAATCGAAGCACAGCCAAAGACCTGTTCCAGTAGTAGAAATTGCCCGTACTTGGTGAATGTGTTACGAGAAGAAACAAATATATCAATCAATGATATAAGATGAGAAGAAGATTTGAAGGTGTCGAGAAGGAGAAGAGATGAGCCGAAAGAACTGCACTCTTCTGTAAGTGCGTGCGACTGTAATTGCTTGGTTCAGGGCAATCCAGGACAAGCTATGGATCGGGGAAATGAAAGGCGCCTGGTGACCCGGGATGCTCTGAGCAAACCAAATGACGCCTGGTAACCCCTGTACAATGTGGCGCTTCGTCTGTTCTTTTGCGACTATCGATAAAATAGATTGGATTTTACTGCAAAGGGTCGAAGGGGGCCGCGACAGGGTGGATTTCTATCAGAGGAAGAGCCGGATGTCTTCAAGAAGCCGAGTCCGTATAATTGGATCAAAGGCGCTGAATTTGATGGTTCGTAATTGTTTCGTTTCAATATTGTGTGTAAATCTCGTGATTTATTGGTGTTGGTTGCTTACATACGGTATGGTCTGGTCGTTGCAGTGACTTCTTGAGCATAAGACGAAAGGAAAAGGGAACAGCGGAAGCTGTGCCATGAAGAATGGACACCCTCCAACTTATCTACAGTATCAACCGCACATTCATAAGAATGGCTCATGTGAATTCCGCTTGTACATTCCGCTTGAATGCAAGATAATACCTTGGTGACCCCAACCTTGGCTTGGCGCCCAGCCCAGCCTATATCGCCAAATCGGACAGAGGCGCCTTTGATAGGAATTTTTATGACTCGTGATACCTAGCATGACATTCAGCCTGTGGCTGTAAAACACCTTTGACTATCCGAATGGTGGATGTCTTTTCTTTACCCCGTATTGTTTGAGGTTTGACCAGGGCAGAAACCAACGTAGTTGATTGGCTGGCTGCAAGGGCGAAGGTCATCGCGGGAGTTTCATCGATGCCACTCAAGCACAGAGCCACGGCCCCCCCCGTTTATTTTACCAAGTAATACAGAGTACTGCGCCTTCAAAACATTTTTCATCATTAAGTGGCTGGTCCCTGATATTTTAGCTTGAGACATGAGCAGCCTTTTTACTCTCTTGTGGCTGTCATCCAAAGAGATCATAATACTCCCAGGCTCAGATCTGTCTGATAAATCGCTCGCGATTGCTTGCATAAGACCCCAGCAGCGACGGCTGATCGTTCATAACGGTTCCGTTGGATCGACACTGCTTAATTCGACCAAGTAATTGATCCGTGCGAGTACATGTCATACAATACGCGTGCATCTTATTTTCTATTCCGCTCTCCAAGAATTAGCCACTATCTCAAACCGCAACTCTTTGATCCGTAGTAGTCCAAAACTTCAAGTGGTACGCTCGTATCTTGGTCCTCACTTGTGACCGGCTGCCTCTTTACCCGCTGAGCTCTGACAGCCCTAGAAACACATTTTCATCCCATCTTGTGCCACTGTCCGTGCCTTTTCTCCTTCTGCCTGAGCCTGTAACTATTTGTACCAAAGCCTCCATTCTCTTTGAAACCGCCTCTCTCCTGTTCTCAGGGCGGGTCTCTTACCCCTGGAGCCGTCAAAACTGAATAGCGAATCGCAAAGCTACCATTTTAATTTAGCCCGATCTTGATCACCACTGCCATGGTACGTATATACGAAAGTCAGTCCTTTCTCATCGACGCGTGGCTTTGTCTTTGCTCCCAAAAGATCGACTGCGCCATTCGGCTGATCGCTTCGGTCTTGAATTGACACACTGACACTGACAGTGCAGCATTGCTTGTGGAGAATGCCCCATCAACAGGAAAAAAGCTTGGGCTTCGGACCTTGTTCCAACGGTTGCTGGTGCGTCGCTGATCATTAGAGTCCCACGAGGCTAGCGAAGCAAAGTCCAAGCTGATCGCAACAGCTTTTGCTTGGACCTCTATAAGTGATGTTTTGCAGTTTTGCAGTTTTGGAGAAACAGAACTATGCAGCGGACTCTGTATAGTGTTTGGGCGGTTGTTTATGGTGTTCGTTCGACTATGATGGTTGCCATTGTGACCTGCAATGAAACTGGACTACGCAGTTAGCGTGGTGTGTTCATGTATCAATTCAAAGTTGAATATATCTAGATTATATCAAGAACTATTATACTCACTGCCATGGAGAAGAAAATGGTCATTCTTCAATACTTAACATAAGTTGAGTGATGCCATGTAGGGAAATATTTAGTATGTGCATGTAATAAAGAACTCGAGGTTTTATATTCACGCAGGATTTCATACACCGCCTTGCTCAGTTCTAGGTACTTGATAAAACAATCAATATTAACAAAGTATAGAGCATCTGGGGTATATCAGGGAGGAACAGTTTGAAGAACATTATAATAAATACAAAGGTATCGTACTCGTGCTTAGATAATGTCTTTCTGTTTCCTAATAGTATCTATTCATACCTGTTTGGGCCACCTCAAACTCTTGATAGTTCGAGCCCTGGCTTTGCAACTATAACATCATAGTACAGAATATCATTACTGACATCAATCCTATCTACCTGTATTTGCTTCGTATCTCAGCCAGTATTTATCTCATGCGCAATTGACCCGACTTCTTACGATGAACCAGCCGAGACGTAGTTGAAACATGGATCAAATCACTTCCGGGGCAACACCACCTCTACGTAATACGAAACCATTGAAGACTCTTCTTCACTACTCCAATAGATGTTTGTTTCTATCCAAGAGTTCAAACACACATGAGACTAGGTTTCTGGCGAAGTAAACACATGCTGGGTCTGAAACCAAGCCGGCATCTTGATTTCCGAAACAGTCCTCATACAGCTACTACAATGAACGGCATGACAAACAGCCCTCAAGATTTGTAATGTGAAAGATGTAATGGTCAGCGGGCTATCATGAAGCACACAGAGAAGGTTGATGTAAACGAACACTATTCATTGACCTTGCTTCTCTGATAGTCTGAAACCCGGCATACCCTAACAAGTACAGTCAGGACGAACCGGTGGAGATAACATACTGTGAGAGAAGATGGAAAGAAACAAAATGTAGTAGACATCAGGGTACCAGAAAAGTTGACCGCCAGAAGCATAAGAGACGAAACCAGTAGGTCAGCGTATGCTTCTTAGACTATAGTTCTTAGGCTATTTGTTTTTGTACCCTAAGGCTAAGGAGGTCGACTTTCCTGCCCCCACTAGATAGGGAGGAAAACGAAAAGAAAAAGAGACTACACATAAAGTACTGTTTCTTGCTGAAGAAATGAAGAGTGATCCTCTTCGCTCCGATATGGAATTGAACACGCAGTGTCCTGGAGATCAACTAGAAAGATTGACAAGTCCGACTGACTAGACCGTACAAGAAGAATCGCTTAAAAACATTTGGTCCTTAGTTCGATTATATGGGCATCGTGAAGTTATCCACCGGCAGGTTACTCAGCTCGGGTTGGTGAAAAACGGGAACTGGGAGTTAGAAGTTAGGAATGCTTGAATCAGTACTTCATAAACCCTCCATTAATAGAGGAGGTCGTTCGTAGCGTAAATTAAATATTAGATTATTATAATAATTACTGTCGATGTTCAAAATCATCAATATTGTCTTGGCTGGTCGTGATAATGTTTTGATTAGAAACATGCCATGGATGTAGCTTGTCTAGCAAACAATACCTACATCAGACCCCGACCATCATGAGTAAGTTGGAAACGCGCATGGTCCTTTCAGTGAGTGGATATGTCATTTATCAAGATGTTTGTCTACGTAATCTCGTTACGAGCAAGTCCTTAGTTCTATATAATAAGATGTCAAACGACCCTTGTTAAGCAATGTCTAATCTGGGGTATCTTCAAATATGTCTTCATAACTCATCTTCAGCCTCCTGCTCCCGCTCTGCCCTGCGTACCTGCCGTTCGACAAATTCCACGCGAGACTCTAGATCTGCCATCGCCTTGGAGTTGGTCAGAACTCCTGTTTCGTACCAGGCTCGCACGGCCGTCTCGCTTCGCGGTCGGAGGTCTGCTATCTCAGCAGCTTGTGCAATTTGCGTCGCCTCGATCGCCTTCATTCGATCTTGCAAAGCTACAAGGGCTGCACTGTCCGCCGGGTCGGGAATAGGACTATCCTTGATCGCGGTAAGGGATGATAAAGTGGTAGGGAAAGCTGAAGCCGAGGCAAGAACAATGGATTGAAGGGCATCGATGTCGAGTTGTGATGGTGGTTCTGATGGCTCGGGTGCATGGAAGAAATCAGGATTGGCTCGATCTGTAAGGGACAGGTAAGCACCGATTTAAACAACAAGATTTAATAACACATACAAATTTTTATAAGTTCATGATAGTCGCGAAAGTCGTATAGGAGCTTGGAGAAGCGCCGCTCGAGTTGGCCGATCTGATCAGTCGCTGACCGATCCTGAGCCAGCGCTGGTGATTGGGACTGGCCATAAAGAAGATGCTCGACACGCAGGAGTCGCGACTCCAGTAGGTCAAGCGTAGAAAGGGTCGTCTCGTTCATAGTGGTGGCCATCGTGACAGCGAGCGCGCGGCACAAGCGCGGGACCTCAAAGTAAGGTACGGTAAGTAAGGTATTGGTTTGAATGATGGAGTGGATGCGGTCAAGGGCGAAAGTGGGGGGTCAGGAGGATGTCATGAAATTGTGAGACCTGCAGGACCATGGTATTTGCTGTAAAGTTGGGTAATTTAGGAATAGTTTGCTAGTTGAATGAATAAATGAATGAACTTTCATGGTTAATTGAAATATACTTTCAGTAATAATGATACTATATTATGAACAGACAAATCATGGCCATCATGAGAACATAAAGTGCTGCAGAAGAACATCTCTCTATCCCCTGAAGCCCTGAAGCAGTTCCCCAGATCAGGATCATGGCTTGTCTAAAAACCACCCTGATTGGCCATCTCATCTCCTTGGCGCACAACGATTGGCTATACGGGTTCGGCACAACATCTCCTCTCCAGTAGTAGTAGCTCCCCCGTTGTTTTGATTTCCAAGGATCGTGGCAGGAGCCGACTGTGTCTGTGTCAGGAAATCGTACTAAACCATCTCCTGACTGTTTCTTCTTCCTCCTGCATCTAATTCATCCACAACAGCCTCGTTGGCACTTGGCTCGTGACTTGGCCTGTTGTGATCCGAGTGTTAAACCTCTTGTCTGTCTGTCAGGGGCCTTTGTGCCGTGGGACGGTGGAAGTGCAAGCACTCACTGACCCGATTGACTGACGCAATTTGGTCTAGGCCTGTCCAGCCTACCAACTTCCGACTTCCCGCCCCCGTGCCTAGTCAGCAACTTATCGGATTTGAATCCCGAGGAACGCAGCGATAACGAAGTTGCATAACTGCAGTTTGACTTGCGACAACACACTCATAGCAACTTGTCTACCTGCAAAACAATCATCGAAAACCTTACAACTAGCTCCGCCCATTGCGATCGCGCCGAACAATCGACGACACTCCATATTCCTTTGTCGTGTTAATGACCAACTACTCTACCATATCTGATGGAAACGCTTCTACAACAAGAAGTGCCGGCGACATGTCAAGGTGAGGAGACCCGCCGACACCGGCCATGGTGATTATCATCGCTCACAACAGACTCCCCAGACCTCGACGTCGCGGTCATAAGGATGGCGGCCATGGCGGCCAAGCCACCACGATCAGCAGTGTCGTAAATCTGCTAAACACAAGTACGTTCAATGTCACTGAACCGACCGACATGATGCTAACACGGACTGTCAAGTTGTTGGAGCTGGCACTCTTGCCATGCCCTCTGTTATGTCCCACATGGGAATCATGCTCGGCGTCATCCTTATTGTGTGGTCTGGATTGACCGCTGCTTTCGGTCTTTATCTCCAGTCTCGATGCGCTCGATATCTCGAACGAGGAACAGCCTCCTTCTTTTCCCTGTCGCAAATTACATACCCCAACGCCGCCGTTATCTTCGATGCTGCAATCGCGATCAAGTGTTTTGGAGTCGGTGTATCATACATGATCATCATCGGGGATCTCATGCCTGGTGTGGTGTTGGGCTTCTTGAGCAATGCTAATAGCGCTCCGTATCTGGTTGATCGCAACTTTTGGATCACTGCGTTTATGCTCATTATTATCCCTCTCAGCTTCTTGCGGAGGTTGGATTCACTAAAGTACACCAGTATTGTTGCGTTGGTATCTATCGGATATTTGATTGTCTTGGTGATTTATCACTTTGCATCTGATAAGCATGCTGACCCGGGAAGCATAAGAGTAATCCAATGGGGTGGAGCGATCGAGACACTGAGCGCTCTACCTGTCGTGGTCTTTGCCTACACTTGCCATCAAAACGTATGTAAACTGAAATTAGCCATTGAACTCTGCTGACCTATTTAGATGTTCTCCATTCTGAACGAATTGAAAGACAATTCTCCCAGAAGTGTTGTCGGAGTCGTTGTTACCAGCATTGGATCTGCTTCCTCCATTTATATTGTTGTGGCTATTTCTGGCTACCTTACCTTTGGCAATGCCGTTGTTGGCAACATCGTGTCGATGTGTAGGTTTTCCCGTTTTGGTTTGGCGATGATCAAACGTAACTAACAAGAATAGACCCGACTGGAGCTGCTTCGACAATTGGCAAGGCAGCCATTGTCGTCCTTGTTACTTTCTCGGTTCCTTTGCAGGTGCATCCTTGCCGAGCTTCTTTGGATGCTGTTCTGAAGTGGCGACCAAACCGTAACTCATCTAACAATGGCCGAACTGCGACACCACTGCTACCTGTATCTCCACCTGGTGATCACGGGAGCACTGCTCCTATGTCTGATCTTCGGTTCGCAGTCATTACCACCTTTATTCTTACTTTCGCCTACATGACTGCTCTCTCGGTCACCAGTCTTGATCGCGTCCTGGCCTTTGTTGGCAGCACCGGATCAACTTCTATCAGTTTCATCCTTCCCGGCCTCTTCTACTATAAGATCAGTAACCCGGACAGTACTTATCATCAACGATTGGTCAAGGAAGACGATGATATTGACGAAGACTCTTCCACTTCCGATGTAGAAGAATCTGCTGCTCTAGCTCAGAGCACAACTAGTGTTCGCAGCGGCGTCAGCGTCGCTAGCAATGCCAGCACCCGCAGCAACCGAAACTCATGGCGATGGCGACGCAAGTGGCGCTGGGATCTCGAACACATTGAACACCACCATCTACGCAGAATGGCACTTGCTCTCGCTATCTATGGAGCTGTTATCATGTCTGTGTGTCTCGCGCTTAACATTTTCTTTGCTGTCACTCATTAAAATGTTTTATTTTATTTTCTCTCACGACCTTATCGGGATGACATATGTTGGATAAAGGCGTTGCAAAGACGAGGGTATGTGTTGGGTTTTCTTATTTAGCGACTCATATTCCATAGACAGCTTTAAATGTGTTTAGACATGGTATTGGGTAGCGCTTCAATACAAATAGTAATAGAGACAAATGACTTGGCTGTGGTGAATCAAGCCGTTTCCAGCATAAGTATATATTACAGTCTCCTCTTGAAAGCGGCATGGGCCTTTATCACCTGCCAAAGATCCCCGGTGATCGTCTGTGTTGGTCCTGCCTGCTCTCGATTTTTGCTGGCTCATTCAAATCGGGTGATATCGATCCCCGAACCAACGCCTCGAAATGTCTTTTTATACATTATCATACAGCCTTCCGGACCTTTCTTGCTTTTTTATCGAATCTGGACTTCGTTCTTGTCCAAAACACCTTTTAACTCGTCCTTCTTGGGACCGAACTGCTTCTTTGGTAGAATGCCAATCATGGAGAGTAATCGCCATGCCGTATCCGTAGGCTGTGCACCAACACCGACCCAGTACATCACGCGCGCACGATCGAGTTGGATATCCTTGTGAAGTTTTCCAGAATTGTCGTAAGGGTCGGCCTTGGGAATCGGGTCATATGTGCCGATGACTTCGAGCGGCTTGGAGTTACGAGCCGTTCTAGACAAGTTTGTTAGTGGTGTGCGTTCAATTCGGGCCACGAGTCGACGGGTTAAGCGCACCGAGCGTGGGCAACAACGATGTTGTAAAAGGGCTGGTTTCGACGCCCGAAGCGGGCGAGACGGATTTTGACAACCATGACGGCGATATGGGGAGACTTGACGATCACGGTTATAACAATCGCCTGGGTAGATGCTACTGCTTTGAAGGTTGGGACATTTTCGAAATCGGAATCGGTGTCTAGTTTCGCCGGTGTGGCTGCTGCTGAGGTGGATCACAACAGTGATGTGGCTGTGCTATCCAACGGCCGAAGGAGCACCCTGCTGAGTGATGTCAGTCCCTGGATCTTCCAACATTTACTCACTGACGACATACAGAGGCTGCTTGATTTTCACATCATCAGAATTACTACTGTGATCCATTGTTGTTACGATTCTAACGAAATCCTCTCGAAAACTAGGCAGAACAAAAGATTCAAAACACACAATGGCGATTAGAGTAAGCGATGAAAGCTATCCTTATAGCTCAGTTACTGACTGCTCCAGACACTCGGAGCCAAAGCTGCTGCTGCTCTTGATCAGGAACTTATGAGCACTGGTGCATTCTCACTTGACCAGCTCATGGAGCTCGCTGGTCTTGCAGTTTCTCAAGCCGGTAAGTTGCTCAACAATTCGGATACGTCTTACAGGAGCCTTCGAAGCTTCTGTATCATTTTGTGTTGCATTGCATGGCCTACAGTGGCCTACGACTGTATTTCACGACACTCAGCCTGCTAATATCACTAGTGTACCGCCTCCAGCCCCTTGAAAATGGTCGCAGAATTCTCGTTGCTTGTGGACCTGGAAACAACGGTATGCCTCTTTCACTAGCTCCTCGATGCAAGTAACTGGATAGTTTCAGGTGGTGATGGACTCGTGGCTGCTCGTCATCTTCGACAGTACGGTTACAGCCCGACTGTGTTCTACCCCAAAAGAAGTAAAAACGACCTGTATCAGGTAAGTTGTTGTTTTCATGTGATTCTTCACCATTTCACCATGTATGATATTGTATAGTATCATTGTATACCGAGAATTTTACAATTTCATTGTTTTATTGTTTTTGTGATTCCTTTGTCGGTTGTTTTCTACCACTCCTGCGGTAACGGTCGAATAGCAATAACTGGTATATCGTTCAATCGATGTAACCAGCTTTTTCCTCGTCTTTCTCCTCGTTTTCCATGCTTGAAAGCTGAACTGTCGCTGACCTTATTCCCAGCGACTTGCCAAACAACTCGAAGATCTTGAGGTTCCTTTCATCGACGATTTTCCCTCGGCGCTGAAATCGACAGATCATGTTGTCGATGCGATTTTCGGTATGTTGTACTCGCTTGACAGCAGAATCGTCTGACCCTTCAACTAGGATTTAGTTTTTCAGGAGAAGTTCGAGAACCATTTCCTGCAGTGATTCAAGCACTGCAAGACACTAAATTGCCGGTCACATCGGTCGATGCTCCATCATCATGGGATATCGAAGATGGTCCGCCAAAGTCTGGGCTCGGTAGCTCCTTCATGCCTACGGCACTCATTAGCCTGACAGCGCCAAAGCCACTAGTGAAGCACTTCAAAGGTCGACACTTCATTGGAGGACGGTACGTACTGGTGTCGTAAGGGTCGGCTCGAGATAACTAACCCTGAAGATAGATTTGTAACTCCGTCCATTGCCAAGAAATTTGACTTTGAAGTTCCGGAGTATAAAGGTGTCGATCAGGTCGTTGAGGTTGAAGTACCCGAGCAGAAACTCTAAGAGAATGGTCGAATTGGCCGTGATTCGAAAATAGGGGGTTTTGGTCACCACCCTTTGTCTCTTCTGGATAGCAAACGTATCACATAATTCGACAACCTCCCCTCAAACTATTTGGACAGACTGGACTTGGGCACTGCCCATCTCGCATCATAGTCCGGAGAAATATGACGCCTTGTGGACATACAAGTAATGGCGGACGGAATAATTGACAAAATTCGACATAGACGAGATACTCTTTCCCGCAGACGTGGCACGCAGCCGAATGCTGCGTGCACATTTATCTGTGAGCTCGAGCTTTGTCCTTAGATTTCGAATAGGTGATGATCGAGCCGTCGATTGAGAAAGGGTAGACCTGCACCAACGACATGGACAATGACGTGGAAGAATGGCGTACAGGTAGAGGGAAGAAAATGCAAGCTGACAATTCTCATAGGCGGGAGATGGCAATCGTGGATGGAATGGTAGTCGTCGTGAAACAGAATTTCGTTCAAGGTCAACAGAGAACTGATATAAAGAGTGTGGCGTCGAAACAGAAGTCCTGTTTAACAGACTACAGACGTGGTGGCCAGTTGCCACCGAGGCTTAGTATGTCCAGTGTGTCCAGTATGTCCCGGTAGCCAGGGGGCTTCAGAAGGGGGGTTACAGGGACCCAGCGGGAACTTAGAAGGTAAAAAGACGAGTCCACGTCAGGCTGGTTGTCTCGGCCCCGGGCGACGTTACCTGGAAGAGTCGTGGCAAAAGAGGGACATGACGACTCTCGAGGATGGTGCCGTACTGATGGTGGTACATGGACGGAATAGAAAAGGGAACAAAAGCATGCGACGGCGAGGCATTTTGAGGGAAGTGATGTTAAAATCCTGTGCGTCCGATGAGCACCTTTGGTGGAAAACACCACCTTACTCTTACGCTTGTCTGATGAGGGAGTCCCGGAGCCGGAGCATTTGCTCCTCGACCCGCATGACAGGCGGGGTCTGTAATGCAGCGCTTGCAAAACGTACTGTTTGATATAGGCACACGGGCCCGCTTTTTTTTATCCCATGCAGAGAAAGAGAGAACCAGTTCCTTCAGGAAGCATCTCGAAAGCTGGTGCTTTACAGTGCAGAACAGTACAGTACCTGCCTACTTACATGACGGTATCCCATCTGCATGTCTGTCCATCCATAATACTCTTACTGTCTCTTGATGACAGCAGTAACATGGTATCAATAATGACCTGACACGCCAACGTCAGCCAACAACTTTAATCGGAGCCACAGTTGATCGGCCTCGAAGGAACAAGCAAGTCTTTCCGACTCGGCTCGCCAATTTCTTGCGACATTGACTCGCACAAAGAGAGATTTGCAAAGCGTCTCCAGAAAAGTGAAAAATTTAATGGTTTAGAGTCTCAAAGATTCCGAGCGCAGTATGCTAATCGTTGATATCGGTCAGAATATGGGATGGCGCCGCTGACTAGTGGTTATACTGACGGCTTGGCTCGACAGGCTTGATGAGATCACGATGAAATGGACAACCAACAGTCACAGTTCAGCGAAATGATTTGCTTCGGGGACGACCTGAAATAAAGGATCCCGACGCTACGACCGCCAGGGTCCTCGTGGGTGTGGTCCACGATCTCGGGACCCACGATCGCAAATGGAGAATTGTTGCGGCAGATCGAACGGCGTCCCGTCATGTCTCGAACCTGACTGGCTGACTGCAAAGTACTCATCAATTCAACGGGGCCAAGTTGCCCTCCAATTCAGCTCAGACTAATCCATACAGGTTGAGGTACCCCAACTAAACAAGAAGAAAATGTTTTTGCGGCACAGTGTATTCTGACTTACTTGACAACCTTGTTCAAAAGAGCTGCGCCACAGGTCAGGTACGGTGACAGGGTCCTGTACCACGACAGACTCTCCTTTGATTGAGGGACCAGACTAGAGATAAAGTTTCCGAATCTTCAATACGGCCACTAATTGAGCTACTCTTGTGTATGTATGGTCTTTATGTGCTAACCCCTGTCGAGAAACAGTTTTTAGGGAGATTTGTACATAATAGTCACCTTGGCAAGTCGGGTACCGATACCCTGGTCCCGTCACTGAGTCGAGAACGAGGTCGAGATCGTCAGAGACCTGACTCTATACAGCTGTATTGCCTAACAATGTCAGCCACAGATTGCGAGAAAGACTATTTCCAGGAGGATCGAGAAAGTCGCACAATATTGGAACAGCCTCGTTGACCTGGAAGAACAACACGGGTAGTCGCACGTGTCTTATTGTGCCGGTTCGGCTCGGCAGTGGTGAACCTCCTAGGCATGCTGCAGCGTACGTTAGTAAGTAGGTGTGACGTGCTCACAAAGCCCTAGCAAAACTCAATTGGGTCAAAATCTTAAGGACGGGCGCGAGCTCAAGATAAAGCAACAATCGAAGCCATCGCCGTTTGTTTGCCATGTCACACCCATGCATCTGAAGCCCAACGAAGTGCCACTCTCAGCTGCCGGATGCATGATGGGCATTCGCTGTGGGCTTGTAAATTGCATTTCCAGCCATTGTATCCGTACACAACGGATACAACGCGGAGTATAGCACGTACGAGGCCAAGATCCCTGCAATCGATCTCGAGATGAAACGGCTACCAGTCGTTGTTTTTGCCCCAGATGGTTCGTATTCGAGTTAATGGGGTCAACTTTGGCTCTTACAGTACTTCACAATGACAGATGGGGCCATCAGACGATTACTTAGTCTACCCGCTAAACAAATCAAGTAAAATGGACGTGAGCGGTGAGTATTTGGACACCATCGGAAGTGTCCGTCCCAGGAATACCACTGGTCAATTGGTTATATAAGTCGTGTTTGGATAAGGCTCACCCCTGTCAATGAACGGGCTCCAAGGTGGCCTCAGTGGTCAAGTCAAGTTAAGCCAAGTCAACTCGGAGAGGGTTTTCCGGCGCGGATCATAACGTTGTTGAGATGGATGGGGAATTATCATTGCCCTAGTGAATGATGCATATTCGTTAGCTATGGACGCGATTTGCGAACCCCGTAGGATTGCATAACATGGAGAATTTGGGAGAATTAGATCTCAGGGTCTTTGCTCCAGGCGGAGAGTTTCCTCCGCAACATCTGGCTCCAATCAAGCACAGCAATAAATAAACCGGAGGATGCTCCGGTTCGTGGGGGTTGTTTTATTCACTGGCCAGAAATAAAAAAGATTTTTTTGTTCAAGAAAAAATCACAATCGCGTCGTAGCAGGGAAGTCCCGGTACATGGATTTTGCAAAGGATTATTTATGTCAGTACTCACACTGTGTTTCAATGTTATTTACCGAGGTGTCACCGGCAATTAATTTTGGTGATAATCCTGAGTTGCCTCATTGACGTCATAATTGTCAAATCCCCTGCTTACCAGAAGATTCTATGCATATGAAGATTCTAGACTTCTCAAGCGATAGCCTTCAACAGTTCATCAAATAACATCAAGACCGTGACCAATTACGTACTTACTGTATATACTGTGCTTCAAACTTAGCCTTAGCTCGAGTGTTTTCAGATTCAACCATGCCAACCAACCAGTCAACATTTTATTATCATATGGCCCCTACTGGATCCAATGCTCAGCCCAACTATCCGTCTTCAACTGCCGACCATCCCATTATGAGTATAGAGCCGGTCAGCATTACTTTATGTGCATGCTCGCATGCAGCATCGATTCTTGAATAGGAATATACATGCGTGCGTACATGCAACGTTACTCGCCTTTCTCTTTATGTTCAGTTGCTGAGCCGCGATATCTTATCCAATATCCATTTCATCGTTCCAGTACTCCACAAGGTCAGCTTTTCGACGTCAAAGTTCGCAAAATTCTTAACCTCTACTCGCCTTTTCGACATCGTCACATACATCAAGGGCGGGTCCTTGAATATTCTCGGAGCTACAGCTCCTACCTACACAGAGTTTGAAGTGTCTCAGCATGTTGTTTTGAAGATTTGACGTGTGGAGGTAGCTATCCTCAGGGGTTCAAACAACCTGGCTTGAGGGCATCAACAGTTGAAAACAATAAGTCAGCTTATACCATTCCACAATTGATACTGGACGTTTCTTCCCTGCGCCATGCCATATGGAGCCCAAGTTTCAACCATCCCCTGCCTGCCCAAGAGCGAGATACTGTTGACGATTCCAATCTTGTGGCGGGTTAGAGAAAGGACCCTTCGATAATGGCTGATGGTATGACTAAAGTGGATGCATCTCAGGCAACGAACTAGCAATTTGGCAAGGCGATAGCTTGCTGATTTGACAGGGAGCATGATACAGCCGCTACTGGAAACGTTGCGTGGCCGATGGGGACAAGCATAAGAGTCAAGCCAACATTTTCTGCGCCAATACTTCTCGTCCTAGATAAAGACACTTGTCAAATTTCAATGGGAAAGTTCGGATCCTACTCCTATCAGGGGGAGATATGTTGTCGGGTTGCGTTATCGAGATAGTGACAAACCACCATATTTGAAAAGCATTCGTCATGTACCGGTACAAGGTGAGAGAAAAGCACGGACAGCATCTCCTCGGTGACTCATAGCTCTATTGATAGGAATACGAAATATCCTAGACGCACACATTGTCTGGTCGTCATCCATGCTTGACACAATGTCGAACGTGGCGGGTTTCGTCAAATAGCTCAAGGTAACGCCGAGGATAGGTATTGGTCTTCATGACACGGGATAGTCCAAAGGGTGGTTTGAAATAGACAGTAAAGAACCAGTCATGACTTGGTCCGGTTGAGATTGGACATGCCACATACGTCAATAAAGGATTCTCAACCCTTCTCTGCTGAGTGTCTAAACCACTCGTACTCAACCCGAGCTTTACATGGTAGAATACCAAAAATGAAGGAGTACGATATAGACGTCCACATCTATCAGAAGAAATGTAGAGCACTATAGATTCTGTCTAAGCTGGATTCAAGAGCCCGAGGCAAATCATCTCCTCATCATTTCTAATATCATATATGTAATCTCTGGGGGAATGTCCATACCAGATATCATTGACCTCACCGAGCTGTCGACAGTCTTGATGAAACTCCTCTATGTGAAAACTCCATAGATATGTTCAACGACGGAAAAGAGATACGTCAGTGGGAAGCCATGGGGCACGAATTGCCAACATGATGAATTTATTGTGTGCTTTGTGAACAATCGAGTGTTTCTCCAGGCACTTCAAAAACTTTGCACAAGACTAGATTCCAGGCTGTTTTGGCTGATTAACGATGTGGGAGATTGTGCAATATGCGAGAAGTGCATGCAATGTACCGTCCCTTTATTCTTTAGAGATGCTAAGTGAAGTCATGCCAGTCTTGAGGGAATGCCTTTTGTCAGTCTGACTTCTTTAGCTTTACTCTAAATGTGAAGTTAGCAGCTTTCATATTCTCAGCCAATCTGGTTTCTAGAAAGAAAATGCAGGAAAGGAGATTGAGCTACAGTAAATAATTAGAGAGCTTCTGGGAATTGTGAGATTAGATTAACTGTATGTTGGGCTTGCTGGCTGATCTCCTAGATATTAGTTCAAACTCTTCGCGAATACCGGATGAACTGTCACTATAATGTCGACAAGACGAGTTAAGCGACACGGGGGCGGTTTTAGGCCTTAAAATGACTGGCTGTAGGCGTAGACTCCTTGGTTTGCTCAGTGCCTGACATCGAGTCATATGGATGGCCAAAGCTACGACGCGCATCAGCGTTGGAAGTGACATGCGTCGATAGAGAATGTGGCTGATCAATTTTGGAGAAGACTTAGTTCAGTAGAAACTATTTGTGCCCTTCTGGCATGCAACGAGTCTTTAATGAGTACATTGATTGTCTTAAGGGAAGGTCGAGGCATAGTACCAAGCTCAGCGAAGGTAAGCATAGGGATTGAGTGTATGTGGCATGACTCTTTACTTGAGGTGAAACACAGCACGCAATGGACATATAAGGCATGAGTCACTCGGTAATGAGTGGAAAGTTAAACAAAACATATGTGATCAATTTCTGTACAAAAACATTATGACAATCTCGATGGAAACAAACTAATTATACAAGATATACAGACATAGGAAAGGACTCAGGGTCAAGACCCTCTCATTTATATACTCCGAGAGTCTGACTGTCGCTATACATAGGAAAAGAAATCAGTGCCATAACACTCGTGTTCTTGACGCGAGAGTGCTTGACTGTCGGGGACATAGGAAAATAGAGGATGTAAGGGTAAAATCCCTTTTAGTCTTAGACAGGAAGCGTCTGACTGTGATGGGTATACATAGAAAAAGTAACAAGATTCGATGTCTTATTACTTGGGGAGATTTTGACTGTCGATACACCTGGCACCGTCGTTCCATGAGGATACTGGGCCTGTTGAGACGAACTTGGGGGTGCCGATCGTTGGTGCGATGGGGAATTGGTAAATGTTTCCACTGGAGTTCTCTGAACCGTAGAGGGAACCGTCAGCAGCGGCGTAGAGGGCTCCCCAGATGTTGTCACCAGTGATATATCCAAATGACTTCATTGTCTGCCATGTGTATGAGGTACGACTGAAACGGCATAGAGTGGACGCTGAGCCATCGCTGTTGTACATGACGGAATACATGAAGTCGCCTCCTCCTGGGACAAAGGCCCAGTCGGCAGCCTTGAGGGAGGTTGTAGCGGTACCGCTCATGATGATCTGGCCATACTTGGCAGAACCAGGCATGACATCGATAACCCACCATGCGCCTCCGTTGTTCGAGATCCAGAAGTGACCTTGGTTGTCGATATCACCCATGTTGACGGAGCGGTCACTGGTACGGGCGGGGAGCAAGGTGGAAGTACCATCGCCGCCGATGCGAATGAGTTGGGTACCGGTGTTGTCCATGTACATACCGTAGATGTAGTCGTCGAAACGGTTGTAACCAATACCGTTGATCCAACCACCACCACCGACAGTACTCTTGATGAGGGTTGTTTTACCAGTGCTAATCTCAACACGGTAAAGGGCAGTCTTCTGCATGAGATAACCATAGACGTCGCAACTGAATTGAGGACCGGCACTGGTGTAGGCCGGAGCAACAGGCCTAGTTGTAGTTGCAATTATCACAGTGCCAGCATCGCCGCTGGCGCCAGGAGGGTTGTAAGTGGTGTAAGCACTGGAATCAGCTGTAGTGACTGTGACGGGTGGCCGTTGAACGATAACGGTACCAGGATCCCCAGCCTTGCCGGGCGGTGAGTACGTAGTGGATGTGGCAGTCAGAGTTGTAGGACCGGCTGTGGTGATGGTAACATTATAAGGAGTGGGGAACTGGATTAGAACTGTGTCAGGAGCACCCGGGTCCGAGGCTGTCATTGAGACCGTAGTGGCACGAGTGATAGTGCTAACTGTTTGTGTTGTTGTGACCGTGGACTTAGGGGGATATTGAATGAGGACTGTATCAGGACTGTTTGGGTCTGCAGCAGTTATTGAGGTTGTAGTAGCACGGGTAATAGAGCTAACTCCCGTCTGTGTTGTTGTGATCGTAGACCTAGGCGGGTACTGAATTAGGACCGTATTAGGACTATTCGGGTCTGCGGCGTTCATCGAGACCGTAGTGGCACGAGTGATAGTGCTAACTGTTTGTGTTGTTGTCACCGTTGACTTAGGGGGATATTGAATGAGAACTGTATCAGGACTGTTTGGATCTGCAGCAGCTATTGAGGTTGTAGTAGCACGGGTTATAGTGTTGATCGTCTGTGTTGTAGTTACTGTAGATTTAGGGGGCACCTGCACAAGCAAGGTAGCCGGACCGCCCGAAATACCTGGGAGCGCGAGAGAGGTGACCACCTGTGTCAGCTGTGGGACCGTGACTGTTGAGGTAACGGTAATGCTGGGCAATTGCTGAGAAGTGCTGGTCTGTTGCTGAATAGTGGTCGAAGGATCCAGTCCGATACATCTTGCACCATCTCCCTTCAAGTTGGCAATAGAACCGCCTGGGATGGAGACAGGATTAGCACTGCTTCCTAGGGTGAACTTCCATGTCTGACCAAGGAGGTCCTCTTGTGCGTATAAAGTGCCACCTGGACCTGCCCAAACTGCGCCCCAGACGAGATTGAGGCTTGTAAGTACAAGGTTAGGGTATGACTGGTATCGCTCCCAAGTCCGTGTTGTACGAGACCAGCGAACAATGTTTGTGCGCATTAGGCCTGATTCAATAATCGAGGCCTGAACCGCATAGAGATAATCGCCGCCACCTGGTACGAATGCCCAGTCACCCACGCCAGAAATGACATCAGTAGATGATGTGCCATTGGCAATCATCTTGTTGACCGTAGGTGAGGTCGGGTTGACATCAATACACCACCATCTCTTGCCACTTTCAGAAAGCCAAAGGCGTCCCTGGTCATCGACATCGCCCATGGTGATGGTGTTTGAAGGAACAGTGACAGATATAGGCTGATACTGCCCATCTGAGGCAATACGAATAACCTGGGACTGAGCGCCGCCAAGGACGGTGTTAACAACCCCAGTGACAAGGCCTTGATCAGTAACACCGTAGATATAATTGTCAAGCGTATTATATCCGATACCATCAATTGCACCACCCGATCCAATATTATTGGAGACGGTAGAGCGGCTGCCGTCGTTCAGATTAACCGATGTAAGAGTGTTGCCAACTAGGGTCGACATCACATACGCTTTCCCATCACAGGTGAACGGTGGGAAAACAGTCTTTGCATCAATGCACCTCGCGCCGTCTCCTTGTAAGTTGGCGATGGAGCCACCGGGTATAGGCGTGGGATTTGCCGTACTACCCAAGGTGAATTTCCACGTCTGACCGAGAAGATTCTCTTGACCGTAGAGAGTATTATCCCCTGCCATAACAGCACCCCAGACCAAATTAGTACTTGTAAGAACAAGGTTTGGGTAGGATTGATAGCGTGACCAGGTATGAGTTGTGCGCGACCATCGGACGATGTTAGTTCGAAGAAGACCTGACTCGATGACTGATGCCTGTATAGCATAAAGATAGTCGCCTCCGCCAGGTACATACGCCCAGTCGCCCACCCCGGAGATGAGGTCGGTAGCAGAAGTACCACTGTTAAGTAGTTTGCCGAATGTAGAAGAGGCAGGGTTTACATCAATGCACCACCACTTCTTTCCGTTTTCCGAGACCCAAAATCGCCCTTGCTCATCAACATCGCCCATATCGATCATGTTGGAGGGGACAGTAAGCTTCAGTGTTTCGTAGCCACCGTTCTTAGCGATACGAATAAGCTGAGACGAAGCACATCCGAGAAGACCACAGAGGACTCCCGAGACAACACCTTGGTTGACGAAACCATATATGTAACCGTCAAGCTTGTTGAATCCGATACCATTGATTGCGCCTGCCACGCCGGCAACGTTGAGTAGGCTACCACCAGGGCCGATTCCAGTCGCAACCGTGGTTCGGGTTCCATCGATAAGGTTGACCTTTGTGAGAGTGTTGCCAAGAAGGGTTGAAATGACGTATCCAAACCCGTCACAATCAAAGGTTGGGCCAAAGGATGCTTGGGGCAATTTGCTGCTAGTACTAGAAGATACCACTGCAGGCACTTGTGCGGTTGAGGAAGTAACCAATGTGGGTGCCGTCGATACAGTTGCAGACGAGGCGCTCACTGCTGGCACCGATGCTACTGAGGTTGATGCTGCTGATGGAAGACCGACAGAAGGAAGACTAGCCGAGGGTACGCCAACGGATGGCACAGATGAAACTGGCGATGATGATAGACCTACAGAGGGCAGTCCGGTTGATAGTCCAGAAGGAACGCCAGCCGAGGATACACTGGCTGAAGGTACTGAAAGTTGAGAGCCACTAGGTAGACCGGCCGAAGGTACCGATAGGCTGTCAACCCCTAATGAGGATGTAAGCTTTCCGTCAGGGGCCTCAAAGGACGTTCCTGGAACGCCAGTTGAAGCGGACGGTATACCACTAGAAGGATCGTTTGAAAGGCCAGCTGATGGCACTGAGAGCTGAGAGCCGGTTGGGAGACTGGCTGAAGGCGCGGAGATACCGGCAGAAGGTGCTGATGGCTGAGAGCCGGTTGAAGATGGTGCCGATATACCGCTGAACTCTGATGAAGATGCAAACTTCCCGCCAGGGGGCTCGAATGACGTTCCTGCATTACCATCGGTACTCGTGGAAATAAGCGCCGTGACGGCTTGGGTGGTTGCGCCCACAGTTGATGCAGCAGAATCGTTAGGTGGAACTTGAACAAGTACTGTTCCTGGGTCACCGTCAGTTGCCCCAGGGTTGTATGTTGTCCTGGTATCGCTAATTGTGCTAACTGTTTCGGTCGTTGTAACGTTATATTTGACGGGAACTTCAATAAGCACAGTTCCTGGGTCGCCTTGAGTTGCTCCTGGGTTGTAAGTAGTCCTGACCCGGGTGATGGTGCTAACTATTTCGGTTGTTGTGACATTGTAATTAACAGGAACCTGTATAAGTACGGTGTTCGGGTCGCCTTGTGTACCAGCTGGGTTGTATGTGGTCCTGACTCGGCTGATTGAGCTGACTGTCTCTGTGGTAGTGACATTGTAGTCAGGGGGAACCTGCACCAAGACTGTGCCGGGGTCGCCTTGAGTGGCAGCAGGAATATATGTAGTTCGGATACGACTAATGGCATTATCAGTCTGTGTAGTCGTAACATTGTAATCCAATGGTACTTGGACTAAAATAGTATTCGGATCGCCTTGCGTGCCGGCTGGGTTGTATGTGGTCCTGACTCGGCTGATTGAGCTGACTGTCTCCGTGGTCGTGACATTGTAATCCAATGGTACTTGGACCAAAACAGTATTCGGATCGCCTTGCGTGCCGGCTGGGTTGTATGTGGTCCTGACTCGGCTAATAGAGCTGACTGTCTCCGTGGTAGTGACATTGTAATCTAGGGGAACCTGCACCAGGATAGTGCCCGGATCGCCTTCCTCACCAGCAGGGTTATATGTCGTCTTAGCCCGGCTAATCGTACTCACAGTCTGAGTGGTGGTCACGTTATAGTCTGGCGGATGATCTATAAAGACAGTGCCAGGGTCTCCTGCTGTTGCCGGAGTCGCAAAACGTGTGGCAGGGCGAGTGATAGTAGGATCAATAGACGACACCGTGACATTGTAAGCTGGAGGGAGTTGCACGATAACAGTGCCAGGGTCGCCCTGCATGTCAGCTGGGGCAAATGTGGTTGATACTCGCGAGATTGTCGCAACGGTTGTGGTTCTGGTGACATTGTATTCCGGCGGAAGGTCAACGTACACAGTACCAGGATCTCCAGCAGTGCCAGGAGTGAAATATCTAGTAATAGGTCTGCTGATCGTCGAGACCGTTTGAGTTATTGTAACATTGGTGTCTGGCGGCATCTGGACAAGAACAGTGCCGGGATCACCCTGTGTACCGGCTGGAACAAAGGTAGTTGAAGGCCTCGTTATCGTAGGAACGGTCGTGGTTCTTGTTACGTTGTACTCCGGCGGCAAATCAACGTAGATTGTGCCGGGATCACCAACTTCGCCTGGTTTCGAGTACCTTGTAACTGGTCTAGTAATTGTCTGGATCGTTTGGGTTGTCGTAGTATTGGTGTCCGGCGGCATCTCAATAATTATTGTACCAGGGTCGCCTCTCTGCGCAGGGGAAGCAAATGTTGTAGATTGTCTTGTGATAGTCGGGACCGTAGTCGTGACAGTGACATTGTACTCCGGTGGGAGGTCGACATAGATCGTGCCTGGATCCCCAATCTCACCTGGCTTAGAATAACGAGTGACTGGTCTACTGATTGTTTGCACAGTCTGGGTTGTTGTGACATTGTACTCTGCGGGCACCTCAACAAGTACCGTGCCTGGATCTCCTTGCGTTGCACCTGCAGCAAATGTTGTGCTTTGGCGGGTAATGCTGTAAATTGTTGTAGTAACAGTGACGTTGTACTCGGGTGGAATATCGAGATATACAGTGCCAGGGTCGCCGATCTCAGCGGGAGATGAGTAGCGGGTGACAGGCCTGCTGATGGTCTGCACAGTCTGGGTTGTCGTAACATTATACTCAGGGGGCATCTCAACGAGTACCGTGCCAGCATCCCCTTCCGTTGCACCAGGGGCAAACGTTGTGCTTGGGCGAGTGATTGTGCTAACTGTTGTGGTGATGGTGACGTTGTGGTTTGGTGGTACGTCGATATATACGGTGCCTGGATCACCCTTGGTACCAGGGGTTACATACCTCGTAGCTGGACGAGTGATTGTGGAAACGACTTCGACAATAGTTGTGTTTGTCTCAGGGGGTTCCTGTACAATGACTGTGCCTGGATCGCCTTGTTTAGCAGGCGGTGCATAGGTTGAAGTGGCCCGAGTGATACTGTTAATGACCTCAGTTGTAGTGACGTTCCTGGATGGGGGCATTTGGATTATAATGGTGCCTGGGTCCCCTCTATTGGCTGGTGCAGAATAGACAGTAGAAGCCGCAGTGAGTGTATCGACTACAGTCGTCCTTGTGACATTCCTGTCAGGTGGAAGTCGCACAATTACAGTACCTGGGTCGCCGCGGCTTCCTGGAGGCGAATACGTAGTATAAGCCTGGGTCAGTGTAGGAACCTGTTCCGTCGTGGTGACATTGCGGTCAGGAGGCAATTCGATAATGACTGTGCCTGGGTAACCTTTGGTGGCGGGCGAAGCAAAGGTAGTATAAACAGCAGTACGGCCAGTAACCTCTGTGGTGACGGTGACGTTGCGATCAGGGGGGAGTTCGATAATAACAGTGCCTGGATCTCCTTTGGCGTCTGGGGCAGAATATGTCGTATAAGGGGCAGTGCGAGTAGGGACTTCGGTTGTGATAGTGACATTTCTGTCTGGTGGCATACCAATAATGACAGTACCCGGGTCGCCCTTGCTTCCAGGCGAAGCATAACTGGTGTAAGGAGCAGTAAGACTAGTAGCCTCAGTCGTAATAGTGACATTTCTGGCAGGTGGAATCTCCACAATGACGGTACCTGGGTCTCCCTTGTTTGCAGGTGTTGCAAATGTAGTGTATGACTTGGTGCGGGTTGAGACTTCTGTTGTAATAGTCACATTTCTGTCAGGTGGCACCTCCACGACGACAGTACCCGGGTCACCCTTGCTAGCTGGGGACATGTAGGTGGTAAATGGCTGAGTGCGACTAGCTACCTCTTTCGTGATCGTTGTATTCCTGTCAGAGGGCAACTCCACGATAACTGTGCCAGGGTCGCCTTGTTCAGCCGGTGGCGAGTATGTTGTGTAAGGGGCAGTTCGGGTTGGGACTTCGGTTGTGATCGTCACATTAGAATCAGGGGGTAGCCCGATGAACACTGTACCCGGATCTCCTTGCCTTGCAGGTGACGAGTAACTTGTGTAAGGAGAGGTAATTGTGCTAGCGACTTCTGTAACTGTCACGTTACGCCCAGGAGGCACCTCAATAATGATAGTGCCAGGATCACCTCTGTTCGCAGGTGCCGAGTAGGTGGCGTAAACAGCAGTTCTATCGCTGACTGTCTTCGTTATCGTGACATTTGAATCAGGAGGCAGTTCAACCACGACGGTGCCGGGATCCCCACGGTTGGCTGGTGGCATGTATGTTGTGTAAGGGGTAGTTCGAGTGTTGACGATAGTCGTAGTGGACACATTGCGATCTGCAGGCATGCCAATGATGACTGTACCTGGATCACCAACAGTTCCTGGCGGTGAGTATGTTGTATACGGTGCTGTGATAGTAGCATCGTCCTTGGTGATTGTCACATTGCGCGAGGGAGGGACCTCAACGAGGATAGTTCCTGGATCGTCTTCTGCACCGGCTGGCAGGTAGGTTGTGTATATAGCAGTGATGGTGCTGGCTGTCTGCGTGGTTGTGATGTTGAAAGGCGTAGCAGGGCCAGGAGTCTCGATAATCACTGTGCCGTTTTCGCCACGGTTGGTAGGGGGAATGTAAGAGGTAACAGGTCCAGTGAGCGTCCTTGGACCAGGTCGATAGACGGTAATATTCTGGCCAGTTGCGTCGGTGATAGATGGGTTTGGCGAACTTGACGCAGCCTTCTGGTTAGGCATGATAATCGCAACGGTTCCCGGGTCACCTGGAGAAGCTGGTGGGTTATACCTCGTGACAGTGTCCGAAACAGAGTCGGTGGCTTGACTGGTGATTGTGACGTTGTACTCTGGGGTCTCGACCAAAACTGTCCCGGGATCACCAGCCTGTCCCGGCGGCATGTAGGTTGTAACTGGGGCCGTCACCGAAGAAGCACCTCGAGTTGTTGTGATGTTGTACGGGCCCATTGGTGTCTCGATGATAACTGTTCCAGGATCACCAGGGCTTCCGGGCGGCGAGTAGATAGAGACTAACGATGTTATTGACTTAGGAGCTTGTCTTGTGATTGTGACATTATAATCAGGCGTTTCAACAAGGACGGTGCCAGGGTCGCCAGGCTCACCCGGATGCAAGTATGTTGTGAACGGTGTTGTGATTGTTGAGGCACCTCTGGTGGTAGTGACGTTGTAGGCATCGGCAGGAGTCTCAACAATAACTGTGCCAGGATCACCAGCCTTTCCAGGTGCAGCATATGTCGAGAATACGGCAGTGGCCGTCTTGGGTCCTTGCCGTGTAATTGTGACATTATAATCGGGTGTCTCGACAATTACAGTTCCTGGGTCACCTGGGGAGCTTGGTGGAGAGTACGTTGTGAATGGCGCTGTAATCGAGGCACCACGCGTGGTGGTTATGTTGTAGGGACCAATTGGCGTCTGAATAATAACAGTACCGGGGTCTCCATACTTTCCGGGTGCAAGATATGTCGAACGCAAGGTGGTGACGGTTCTAGGCGCCTCCGTTGTGACTGTTACATTGTAGTCAGGTGTTTCAACAACGATGGTACCTGGATCACCAGGTGTAGCAGGCGGCGAGTATGTCGTATAAGGCGCTGTAACTGAGGCACCCCGAGTTACAGTAACATTGTAATCAGGTGTCTCGACAAATACAGTGCCTGGATCCCCTGGAGCGCCTGGAGCAGCGTAGGTAGTATACATCTTGGTGACGGAGGCTGGGGCAGCTCTGGTGACCGTGACATTGTAAGCATTGTTGGGTGTTTCGACAATTACAGTTCCCGGATCGCCGGAAGAGGCAGGAGGAACGTATTTGGTGCGAACACTCGTGATAGAATCGGGGGCCTGTGTTGTGACAGTGACATTATAGTCAGGAGTTTCAACTATCACTGTACCTGGATCACCCGAAGAACCAGGGGGTGAATAGGCAGTAAAAGGTGCCGTAATAGATGCTCCACGGGTAATTGTAACATTGTAGTCATTGTTGGGTGTTTCGACGATAACAGTACCAGGATCGCCTAATGTGTCCGGAGGGGCATAAGTTGTTCGAAGGCTCGTGACGGATGCTGGTGCTTGGCGGGTAATTGTAATGTTATAATCAGGAGTCTCGACAATAACCATTCCCGGAGCACCTGCAGAAGCTGGAGGCAAGTAGGTTGTTAAAGTTGTCGTGACTCCAGATGGACCCGCTCTAGTAGTCGTGATGTTGTAATCAGGAATCTCAACGATGACGGTTCCCAAATCACTCGACTGTGTAGGAGGTGAGTAGGTAGTGAAGGGAGTGGTAACGCCAGCGGGCGCTTCTCGAGTAATGGTGACATTCCCGTGCGGAGGCAAAGTCTGATCCAAGTAAACACTGGTCTGAGAAACGACAGTTCCTGGCTCTGTGCCACTGGGTGGGATGATAATGACATTAGTCTCTGCACCTGTAGTACCGGCATCACTTCCAACATTTGAATTGGCACCGGTTTGGGTGGAGGGGTCTCCCGGAATAGTGACCGTTGCACTTATTGTGACATAAGAGTCCGTATCGGCGGTACCTAGAGACGACTGGCCAGGCGTGTGCACGGGCGTATATATAATCTTTGTTCCAGGAGCTGTTCCTGAAGGAGGTACAATCTGGGTGACGTTCTCGGTAGCACCCGGAAACTTGGTGTTTGGCTCAATAACAGTTACATCTTCACGAGTATCGGTTGGTGTGATCGTGAGGGCATCAGGGTTGCTGGAAGCAGACGAGAAAGGTATGGTGTTGCCGCCAGTGGTGATCACTGCTGCGATTGAGGCGGGACCAGAAGTGGACCCTACTTCCTGTTGAGAAGAGGTCTCCGAACGAGAAACAGGCGTCTCAATGACAACAGTACCTGGCTCCCCAGGATTGGCAGGAGGGATGTAGCTTGTGGTAGGGGTCTCAATCGTGCCGGGGCCAGTGTATGGTCGGAAGACAGTGGCATTGGGGCTTCCAGAGTGGGCTGGAATGGTGATTCCTGAAGCACTACTTATTGCCTGGGTCTCATGGGAGGTCATGGAGAACTCAGTAGATGTTTCAGTAGTCTGTGTCTCAATGATCACAGTGCCGGGCTCTCCAGAAGCTGTAGGAGGGACATATCTAGTAACAGGCTCAGTGATTGAGCCAGGTCCAGGATAAGGCCTGAACACAGTGACGTTGGGACTTTGGGAGCTCGGAGGCAAAGTAATCTCTGCGTTCGCCGATGTTGAGACCGAAGTATCCGATGATTGAGTCTCAATGATAATCGTCCCAGGCTCGCCGGAAGCGGTAGGAGGGACATATCTGGTAACAGATTCTGTAATTGAACCAGGCCCGGGATAAGGTCGGATGACAGTGACGTTGGGGCTGGTAGAGCTAGGAGGAAGGGTTACAGCTGGCTGCTCGCTAGCCATTTGATCACCAGATGTCTTCTCCTCCCGAGTTGTGGCTGCATCAGTAGGTGTCTCAATGATAATTGTGCCTGGCTCACTACCAGTTGGAGGAACGTAGATCGTAGTAGCCTCCTTGCCTGGACCGCCTCTGATCACGGTAACGTTGGGGCTACCAGAATGGGCAGGGATAGTAACTGCTGAATCTGTAGTTGTCTCAGCAAATCGTAGAGGTGGAGTTTCAATGATAACAGTTCCTGGATCACCTGGAGTTCCAGGAGGTTGGTACCGAGTATAAGGTGCCGTAAGCGACACTGAACCATCGGTTATAATGGTCACGTTCCTTTCGTTGCCGGCACTCATTCCGGGTTCAGAAGCAACTGTCTGGATGAAAACAGTGCCAGTCTGTCCTGGTGTTTGTGGTGGGGCGTAGCTAGTGATAGGAGTCTTTACACCTGGCGGTGCCAAAGTGTAGAAAGTAACATTCTGACCGGCCGGACCTGACGACACAGTATCGGCTGGACCCGACATTGTTTGGATGGGGCCTGTCATGGTGTTGGGAGTCGGAGCCGGGGTCTCTATGATAACGGTTCCAGGTTGTCCTGATGTCCTTGGTGGCTCGTAGGAAGTGACGGGAGCAGTAATGACACCTGGGCCAGGATACTCGCGAACAATTGTGATGTTGGGACTTCCATTACTAGGGGGGATTGTAACGGCAGGAGCTGATGTTGGCTGACTCTGAGGCTGAGCGTCTGTGGTAGACTCCTCGACAGGAGTTTCGATGATAACAGTTCCAGGCTCACCCGCTGCGGTAGGGGGAACATATCTGGTGACGGGAGCTGTAACCGACCCTGGCCCATGGTAGGGCTTAATGACGGTCACATTGCGATTCTCATCATTTGACGGGATAGTGATTGCAGAGGAAGTTTCTGGCTGGCTGTTGACTGAAGGATCCGGAGTGGGCGTTTCGACGATGACCGTTCCAGTACCAGACACTGGGGCAATGGTTGTGACAGTAGTAGGTTCTGTGATTCGTGCTGTACCAGTGTATGGCCTGTAAATAGTGACATATACAGTACTGGCAGTTTGGGGTGCAAGAGTCTCAATAATCACGGTGCCTGTTCCAGAAACCGGAGCAATTGTTGTGACAGTTACCGGGGCCGTAATTTGTTCCGTACCGGTGTATGGTCTGTAAATAGTCACAAACACATCTTCAGGACCAGACATGGTGGTCGCGGCTTCCGTAATCGCCTCGGGGGTCTCAATGATGACTGTACCAGGCTTTCCGTCAGAGGGAGCGATGGTCGTAACAGTGACTGGAGCAGTTATCACATCGGTTCCAGTATGGGGTCTAAAGACCGTGACGTATTTGTCGTCGCCGGCAGAAACGGTTACGGGAGGATTGCGCATATCGCTGCTGGCAGTGGTTTCTGGTACTGGGGTCTCGATAATGACAGTACCAGGTTGGCCATTGGAAGGTGTGATGGTAGTCACCGTTGAGGGCGCTGTGATCTGAGGCGTCCCTGTGTAGGGTCTAAAAACAGTCACATAACTGTCATCTCCGGCAGGGATAGTCAGAGGGGGGTTGGCTTCCTTGTTTGCTGTTTGTGGTCCGGGAGTTTCAATAATGACAGTACCAGGCTGGCCATCATGAGGAGAGGCAATAGTTCGGGTAACTTCACCCGTAATCTCGCCAGTACCTGTATGAGGCTCGTAGATGGTAGTGTATTGACCAGGAGCAGGACTAGATCCTGCTGCCGTCTCAATCACAATGGTGCCAGGCTGGCCGTCATGGGGAGTGGCAACGGTTCGGGTGACTTCGCCAGTGAACTCACCAGGACCCGTGTGAGGCTCGTAAATAGTGGTGTAGGTTCCGAGTTCCGAGATTCCTGATTTTGGTGTTTCGATAATAACAGTCCCGGGTTGGTCACCCTGGGGAGGTGCGATAGTTCGGGTGACCTCTCCAGTGAACTCACCAGCGCCAGTATGAGGCTCATAAATGGTGGTGTACCGACCAGAAACTGAACCAGGTCTTGATGATGTTTCAATAACAACAGTACCAGGCCGGTCACCTTCAGGGGGAGCAATAGTTCGGGTGACCTCACCGGTAAACTCGCCAGTGCCTGTGTGAGGTTCATAGATAGTTGTGTAACGACCAGAGACTACAGTAGGTCCTGATCCCGCGGTTTCAATAACAACCGTGCCAGGTCTGTCACCCTGCGGGGTAGCGATAGTCTTGGTGACCTCGCCAGTGTATTCTTCAGAGCCAGTATGAGGCTCATAAATAGTTGTATAATAACCAGAAGCCGCAGTAGATCCTGATCCTGATGTTTCAATAACAACAGTGCCAGGTCGGTCGCCTTCAGGGGGAGCAATAGTCCGGGTGACCTCACCGGTAAACTCGCCAGTGCCTGTGTGAGGTTCATAGATAGTTGTATAACGACCAGGAGCTGAAGTAATAGGCTCGCCTGATCCTGGCGTCTCAACGATCACAGTGCCAGGTTGATCCCCTTGTGGCTCGATAGTCGTAACGGTAACTGGAGCAGTGATAGAATCAATGCCCGTATGAGGTCTGAATACAGTAACATAAGAAGGCTCTGCGGCATGGCTCGACGTGACAGGCGGCTGAGAACCAGGCGTCTCAATGACGACAGTACCAGGTTGATCACCCTGAGGCTCAATTATTGTGACAGTAACTGGGGCAGTGATAGAATCAATGCCCGTATGAGGTCTGAATACAGTAACATAAGAAGGCTCTGCAACAGGGCTTGAGGTGACAGGTGGTTGGGAACCAGGTGTCTCAATGATGACCGTGCCGGGCTGATCGCCCTGAGGGACAACGGTAGTAATAGTGACAGGCTCTGTGATTCTGTCTGGACCAGTATGAGGCTGATAGACTGTGATATAGGAAGGCTGGATAGCTGGACCTGTTGTTATCGCAGGTTCGGATCCAGGTGTCTCGATAATAACAGTGCCGGGCTGATCGCCCTGAGGGGCAACGGTAGTAATAGTGACAGGCTCTGTGATTCTGTCTGGACCTGTGTGAGGCTGATAGACCGTGACGTAAGAAGGCTCTGCAGCAGGCCCTGATGTAATAGGCGGCTCTGAACCTGGAGTCTCGATAATAACAGTGCCGGGCTGATCGCCCTGAGGGGCAACGGTAGTAATAGTGACAGGCTCTGTGATTCTGTCTGGACCAGTATGAGGCTGATAGACTGTGATATAGGAAGGCTGGATAGCTGGACCTGTTGTTATCGCAGGTTCGGATCCAGGTGTCTCGATAATAACAGTGCCGGGCTGATCGCCCTGAGGGGCAACGGTAGTAATAGTGACAGGCTCTGTGATTCTGTCTGGACCTGTGTGAGGCTGATAGACCGTGACGTAAGAAGGCTCTGCAGCAGGCCCTGATGTAATAGGCGGCTCTGAACCTGGAGTCTCGATAATAACAGTGCCGGGCTGATCGCCCTGAGGGGCAACGGTAGTAATAGTGACAGGCTCTGTGATTCTGTCTGGACCAGTATGAGGCTGATAGACAGTAACGTAAGAAGTCTGAGCAGCGCTGGTGGAGATAACACGAACTCCAGGAGTATCAAAGATGATTGTTCCGGGCTGATCGCCTTGGGGTTGAATAGTGGTTCTTGCACTGGCTTCAGTCATGTCACTAGTTCCAGTGTATTCCTCATAGATTGTAGTGTAGGAAGGAGCAGGGGGTGTTGTCGTGACGGGAGGCTCCGATCCAGGAGTCTCAACAATGATAGTACCTGGCTGGTCACCGTTGGGGGCAATGGTTGACACAATCACTGGGGCCGTGATTCTGTCAGGTCCAGTATGGGGACGATAAATAGTAGCAAAAGGAGCCTGTGTTTGGACGACCACTGTACCTGGGCGGTCTCCCGATGGAGGAATTGTGGTGGCAGTGATGGGCGCCGTAATCTGATCAACACCAGTGTATGGAACCGTGGTAGTGACGTAAAACTGAGGCGTCTCAACAACCACGGTACCTGGCTGGTCTCCTTGAGGAGGAATAGTGGTAATGGTCCTTGGTCCAGAAATCAATTCCGTGCCAGTGTATTGCGTGGTGATTGTAACATAGGATCCAAGCGTTCCCATCACGATAGTTCCGGGCTGGTTGCCTTGAGGGGAGATCGTGCTAATAGGAACTGGGCCAGCGATGGTACCAACACCAGTATACAGAGTCGAAATGGTCACATAAGGACCTTGAGTCTCGACAATGACTGTGCCAGGCTGATCGCCTTGAGGGGGGACAGTGGTCACAGTGGTGGGCTCAGTAAGCATCTGTGTTCCAGTGTAAGGATTGGTGACTGTAACATATGACGGCGCAGGAGGCGTGGTAGTAACAGCTGGGCCAGCTCCCGGCGTCTCGACGATGATTGTGCCTGGCTGGTCTCCGTTCGGGGCAATTGTTGAAACAGTAATGGGTCCAGTAATCTGTCCTGTTCCAATGTATGGCCGGTAGACAGTCACAAAAGGAGCTTGGGTTTCATAAATTACAGTGCCGGGCTGGTCACCTTGAGGAGGAACAGTAGTGACGATGGGGGCTGTGATCTGATCGGTACCAGTGTAGGGCCTCGAAATCGTTACATACGACGGTGAAGAAGTGGTAGACGCCTGGAAGGCCTTTTGGCCGGGGGTCTCAACGATAACGGTACCAGGTTGATCTCCTTGGGGAGGAACAGTCGTCGTGGTCGGTTCTGTGATCTGTCCAGTTCCAGTGTACGGCCTAGAAATGGTCACGTACGAAGCGGGAGCAGGTGTAGATGTCACAGGAGGCGCTTGTTGTCCCGGGGTCTCAATAATCACTGTACCAGGTTGGCCGTTTGCAGGCTCAATAGTGGTGATAGTGACGGGAGCGGTGATCCTGTCTGTTCCAGTATGAGGTTGATAGACCGTAACATAAGAAGCGGCTGGTCCAGCAGAGGTTGTTACAGGAGGCAGATCCTGGTCGGGGGTCTCAACTATGACGGTTCCAGGCTGACCACCGCTGGGGTTGATTGTAGTAATCGTTACAGGGGCGGTGATCTTGTCTGTTCCAGTGTGAGGGCGATAAACCGTAACATAGGTGGCAGTAGCTTGAGGAGCACTGGTGCCAGACTCTGCAGGAAGAGGAGTCGAAGAGGACTCGGGTGCAACAGGGGTTTCAATAATAACAGTACCAGGTTGACCATTGGCAGGGGCAATGGTGGTAATGACAACAGGGCCAGTAATCACATCAGTGCCGGTGTGAGGTTGGAAGACCGTCACGTAAGACTCATTGGGTCCAGGGGTGAGAGTAACAGTCGGGTTGGGACCGGGCGTCTCTGGCTCTGGAGTTTCAATGATGACTGTTCCTGGCTGGCCACCTGCTGGGGCAATAGTGCTAATCGTGACAGGCGCAGTAATGACGCCGGTGCCAGTGTGAGGTCTGTAAACTGTAGTGTACTGTTCACCTGGTGCGGGATCAACAGTGACTGGAGGAACAACGACCTTGCCACCGGTCTCAATACCTGGGGTCTGAATAATCACAGTCCCGGGGTTACCGTTCGAAGGCTCGACGGTTGTGACCGTGATGGGCTGGTCAATCTTGCCTGGCCCAGGATAGGGTTCGTACACTGTGATATATGTACTGCCAGGACTGGCTGCGGTAGTGCTGGGAGCATTCGCGTCTGATCCCACTGACGTGGGCATCTCAATGACAACAGTGCCAGGTTGACCATTCGTTCCCTCGATTGTACTAGTGATAGGTGCAGTGATCGACTCAGTACCTGTGTAAGGTCTGTAGACTGTCACGTATGAGCTACCAGGCCCAGGGGGGATAGTGCTGGGAGCACTGTTGTCTAGAGATGACGGCGTAGGAGTCTCGATAATGACAGTCCCCGGTTGACCATTTGTGCCCTCAATAGTGCTAGTGATAGGTGCCGTGATAGTCTCAGTCCCAGTGTAGGGTCGGTAGATGATTACGTATGAACTACCAGGACCAGGTGGGACAGTTGAAGTAGCTCCTGTACCATCACTGGTCGAAATTGGAGTCTGGCTCATTGGCGCAGGAGTCTCAATAATGATAGTACCGGGTTGACCATTGACACCTTCAATGGTTGTCACAGTCACGGGGACTGTGATAGAATCTGTGCCTGCATGAGGTCGATAGACTGTCAGGTAAGAGTTTTCAGGACCAGGGGGAATGGTAACAGGCGCTTCACGACTGTCATCTGTCGATGTAGGAGCCTGGGTAACAGGAGTCTCGATGATGATCGTTCCGGGTTGTCCATTTTCACCCTGAATGGTGGTCACAGTGACTGGGGCCGTGATGAAATTAGCACCTGTGTGAGGTCTGTAGACCGTCAGGTAGGTGTTCTCGGGGCTGGGTGGGATCGTGACAGGTGCGTTATCGCCAGTTTTAGTTGTTGAATCAGCTGTCTGTGCAACAGGTGTCTCGACGATGATGGTTCCGGGTTGCCCGTTAGATGGAGGAATAGTAGAGACGGTAATAGGTCCTCCGATGACGCTCATACCGGTATAAGGCCGGAAAACGGTAACGTAGCCATCATTGCCTTGTGTTGAACTGACAGCTGGTGCTGAGCTGCTTTCATCGTTGGTGGCTTGAGGAGCAGGCGTCTCGATGATGACTGTACCGGGCCGACCTGAAGTTGGCGCGACTGTTCCAACGGTGCGGGGCGCAGTGATAGTTCCAGGCCCAGAGAAGGGTCTGTATACAGTCACGTAACCACCGTTATCGGCAGGGATAGTAACGGCAGAAGCGCTAGTAGTCTGTTCGCTGGTGGGTGAAGTCGAAGTTGCGGGCGCAGGAGTTTGAATAACCACTGTACCTGGTTGGCCATTGCTTGGCGCAATGGTAGATACAGTGACAGGCTCGGTGATAGTTCCCGGACCATGATACGGTCGATAAACTGTGACATATCCATCTTGACCTTGAGGAATGGTCACAGGCGGGCTATCTGTGCTTGAAGGCTGGGACTCAGGTCCTGGAGTCTCGATGATCACTGTACCTGGCTGTCCTCCCGTGGGTGCAATGGTAGTGACAGTAATAGGTGCTGTGATCGGAGATCCAGTGTGTGGCCTATAGACAGTAACATAGTTGTTGCCATCAGCCGGGATCGTGACCGGAGAAGAGGTTGTAGGCGATGGAGCAAACTTCGTGTTCACTTCAGGAGTAGGCGTCTCGATAACAATTGTTCCTGGCTGGTCACCAGAGGCAGTGACAGAAGTGATGGTAATAGGTTGGTCAATGTTTCCTGGGCCAGGGTATGGCCTGTACACTGTGACATATGGGTTGTTGTTACCAGTAGGAACTGTAACTGGACCAGTCTGGGTAGCAGTAGGTGCATCCGAGTTAGGAGTCTCGATGATGACAGTTCCGAGCTGCCCAGATACAGGAGCTTGGGTGTATGTAACAGCAGACGGTATTTGCCCAGGACCAGGGTACGGCCTGTAGATAGTAACGTATGACCCAGTTGGCGCAGGTGGAATAGTAATAGGAGAAGCAGAATCACCACTCGTGGGCGAAGAAGTAGGCTCATTAGTGAGCTGAGTCTCGATGAATACAGTACCAGGTTGGCCATTGGCAGGAGCTTGGGTCAAGGTTATCGGTGCGGTGATAGTACCAGGACCTGGGTAAGGTCTGTAGACTGTTACGTACGAATCAGCTTTGGAGCTCACTGGAGCCGGGGTCTGAATAATGACGGTTCCGGGTTGTCCATCAGCTGGTGGTTTGGTAATAGTGATAGGGGATGTGATCACACCAGGTCCAGGGAAAGGCGTGTGGATGGTGATGTAGTTATCCGTGGTCAGTGCCGGGGTCTGCGACTGCGTCGCTGTTCCAAAAGCTGGAGTCGTGATGAATACAGTGCCTGGATTACCACCAGAAGGCGCCTGCGTACTAGTGATTGGTGCAGTTATGACGCCAATGCCCGTGTATGGCAGGAAAACTGTGACATATCCTCCATCGCCCTGTGCAGTGTTTGGGACGCTCTGCTGAGACGTCAACGGCACAGGTGTTGTAATAAATACAGTTCCAGGGTTGCCACCCGAAGGAGGCTGAGTGCTGGTAATTGGAGCAGTGATAGTACCTGGACCTGGGAAAGGCAGGAACACTGTCACGTAACCATCATCTACAGCGGATGTGCTTGGGGCATTTTGATCCTGAGTGCTGATAGGTGCAGGAGTTGTAATATAAACAGTTCCAGGCTGGCCATTTGCAGGTGGCTGAGTGCTGGTAATATCGGCGGTGATGGACCCAGGGCCTGGGTAAGGAACGAAAACAGTAACGTAACCGTCCGTGCCAGTCGAAGTACTGGTCAATCCATTCGCTTGCTTAGGAGTAGAAAACGCAGGCACAGGGGTTGTAATGTAGACGGTTCCAGGCTGGCCATTTGCTGGCGGCTGAGTGCTGGTGATGTCTGCAGTGATGGACCCAGGACCCGGGTAAGGAACAAATACAGTTACGTAGCCGTCCGTGCCAGTCGAAGTACTGGTCAATCCATTCGTTTGCTTAGGTGTAGATAACACAGGCGCGGGCGTAGTAATAAAGACAGTACCGGGCTGTCCATTTGCTGGAGTCTGTGTACTAGTAATAGGGACAGTGATCACACCTGGGCCAGGATACGGGACAAACACTGTCACATAGCCATCTGTACCTATTGATGTGCTGGTCAATCCATTCGCTTGTTTGGGAGTGGAAAATGCAGGTACGGGAGTGGTAATGAAGACAGTACCAGGCTGGCCATTTGCAGGTGGCTGAGTGCTGGTGATAGGCGCAGTAATCTGGCCTGGTCCCGGATAAGGGATAAAGACTGTCACATAACCATCCACACCTGAAGTTGTACTTGGCAGATTCTGCTGAGCAGTGGTCTGAGGAAGAGGCGCTGGGGTCGTGATGAACACGGTTCCTGGGTTTCCACCTGAGGGTGCCTGTGTTCGTGTGTAGGACTGCGTGATAACACCAGGACCAGGGAAAGGAAGAAAGACGGTAACATAACCATCCGGCCCATTCGTAGTGCTTGGCTCAGGCAAAGGAGTAGTAGTTGCAGGCTGTGGCGCGGGGGTCGTGATGAATACCGTTCCCGGGTTGCCACCTGAAGGAGCCTGGGTTCTTGTGTAGGGCTGAGTGATCACACCCGGACCAGGGAATGGAAGGTAGACGGTTACATACCCATCTGTTCCCTGTGTCGTACTAGGCTGAGGTAGGGGAGTTGTAGGATTCTCCGAAACAGGAGTCTGGATGACGACAGTGCCGGGCTGTCCACCAGAGGGAGTAGCTTCAGTGACGGTGATGGGAGCAGTGATGATACCTGGGCCAGGGAAAGGCTTGAACACCGTAACATAGTTGTCATTGCCAGTGACAGTAGATTCCGGAGCACTCGTTGTAGGATTGAACTTGATCGGTGGGGGAGTCTCGATGAAAACCGTTCCAGGCCCGGTTCCAGATGCGATGACTGTAGTCGTGAAAATGGCTGTGATCACACTAGTACCAGAATACTGCTCCGTAACTGTGACAAATCCATCAGAGCCCGTAACTTGGGACTGAGTGGGTTGGATTTTCACTGGGGGAGTCTCGATAATGACAACAGTAGTTGACTGACCACCTTGAGCAGTCGAAACAACCGTCTTTGTGATCGTAGTACTTACACCCGTGCCAGGTTGGTAAATGGTTGCGGTGCCTCCACTTCCGGTGGGTGTAATAGTGATCGGGCCTTGTGTCTCAATAATAACGGTTCCTGGTTGACCGTTGGAACCGCTGATAGTGGTGACTGTGATGGGCTCGTAAATCGGTTCACCAGTGTGTGGTCGGTAGATGGTTGTGTATTCACCAGGTGTGTTAGGCTGAACAGTTACTGTCGCACCTGGCGCTGTCTCAACTTCAGTGACGGTCTGAGGTTCAGGAGCTGGAGTCTCAATAATGATGGTTCCAGGTTGACCGTTCGATGGAGATTGAGTAATGGTGATGGGCACAGTAATGGCATCTCCAGTATGAGGTCGGTAGATTGTCACGTAAGGATTGTTCTTGCTCGGAGGAATAGTGATCTGTGGACCACCTGGTTCGTTTGAAGTAACTGCATTTTGACCCTTGGGCGTATTGAAAGGCGTTTCCACGATAATGGTGCCAGGTTGACCTCCACTAGGAGGAATGGTGATCGTGGTAGGCTGGTTAATGGGGCTGCCGGAGTGAGGTCTGTAGACAGTCACGTAAGAGCCGCCGTCGCCAGCAGGGATGGTGATGGGTCCACTACCAGGAGCAGGAGTTGTCGGAACAGGCGTCTCGATGATAATGGTCCCTGGCTGACCGTTCTGGCCTGGTTGAGTGAGTGTGATGGGGACAGTGATGGGTTCGCCACTGTGTGGTCTGAAGACAGTCACGTACTGACCTCCAGGTCCAGGAGGAATAGTAAAAGGGTCATCAGGCGCTCGAGTGGTTTGACCACCGGATCCAACAGGAGTCTCGATAATGACTGTTCCTGGTTGACCTGGTGCTCCACTGACAGTGACTGTGGTAGGCGTATTGACAGCGTTTGTTCCAGTTGGACCTCGAATAACGGTGACGAATGAGCCATCTGCACCTGCAGGAATCGTGATCTCACCACCTCCAGGTTGAGGAGCAGGAGTCTCAATAATGATCGTTCCTGGCTGCCCATTGCTGGGTGGGACTGTAATGGTCGTGGCGGCCGTGATCACACCAGTGCCAGTAGGCTGTCTGACAATGGTAATGTATCCACTGCCAGGATCGGACGGAAGAGTAATTACTGATTGTCCGACGCGAACGGCTGGTGTTTCGATAATGACTGTTCCAGGATTCGTACCACTGGGTGGAATAGTGTAAGTCACAGGCTCAGTGATCTCACCAGAGCCGGCATGAGGTCTCAAGATAGTAGAGTAAGGGCTATCACCGTTTGGGGGGATAACCTGGGGCTGGTTCTCGGGCGAATTGCCACCTTGATTTCCACTGCTACCAGTTGGGTTCGAAGGACCAGGTGTCTCAATGATAATGGTTCCGTCTTTAGTTCCAGAGGTAGGAACGAGGCGAGTAACGGGAGTAGAAATGGGAGTGTCCCCAGTGTATTGCCTAACAATGGTTGTGAAATGGCTGTCCCCACTGGGAGGGATCGTAACGGCGCCTCCAGGGTTCTGATTACCTGGAGGAACTTGAACAACAACCGTACCTTGATCACCTCCCGATCCTGTGATGGTAGTGACTCTCGCCCGCGTGATGTATTCTGTTCCAGTGTATGTCTGAATTACCAAAACATCAGACGTGCTACCACCAGCATTACCACCGGCGCCACCAGCACCGCCTCCTAGATCAGCACCAGCACCAGGAGTGCTTGGTGGTACATCTTCCCATGGTGTCTGAATGACAACTGTGGCAGAAGCACTTCCTGCTGCAGGAATTGTTCTTGTGGCTTCACCGGTAATGCCAACACCGCTCGGCAAAGCTGAGATAATAGTTGCTGTGGGGTGGTCGTTTGAGGGTGGAATAGTCAAGGCACCAGCCTGGCCCGATGAGAATGACGAGTATGCCGAACCAGGAACGTCGACGATAACTGTGCCGGGTTTGGTTCCTGTTGGTTCAGCGATTGTGATTTCTTGGTTCGTGGTGGCGTCGTCGCCGCCAGTATAAGCTTGAATAATCCTCTCGTAAGGGTCGTCGGTTGTTGGTGCAATCGTAATTCTTGGGTGTGGAAGGAGTGTAACGGGGAAGAGTTGTCCCCCGAGACGTGTATATGTTTCAATTATAGGTTGGCCACCGACGGTGTGTGTTACGGTAGCGGCATCAATCAGAGTCGCATCGAATACTTGGCCTTGGTTCCCTTGATCTCCAGCGTTTACAGCATCGTCAGTATCGCCAGCGCCTCCAGCGTTTCCCGACAGTGTTTTCACTGCGTGCTGAATAAGAGACTCTGCGAAACCAGTTGCAATACGCATGGCTGCATCTTCAATTCCATCTTGGGCCTTAACGGCGAGAATGAGTGTTGAGGCTAACAGCCCCTGTGACAACCACATGATGTAAGTCGTCGACAGAGACGTAACTAGCAGGTTAGTTTGGTGTAGAAAGAAATCTGTATGAGGCTTTCAACATCAATTCCAGCGGCTACATGATCGTTTATATGAACCTCAGACGGGCACAATCATCTAGCACGTCCTTATCGTTTTGGCTTCATTCTTCCATCGGCCTGTCTGTTTTCGTCGCCATTAGAGTTGCCATGGTCTACAAGTGCCTGTCTCCACGATAGGCTATTCTCGCCCACATGCCTACATTCCCTAAAGGCACTCCCAAAACGCTCCAGACAGGCCAGGAATGTCGTCATGAAGCTATGACCCATGTTGCTCGCGGGGAGTTTTATGAAGATCGCTTCCAGCTTTCTTGTGTGGAGCCAGATCCGAAGAATGTCGCCCTGAATAGGACCTGCATGCGCCGAGTCGTGATTGGGTCATGTCTTAAAGATCCTGATCTAATCGATTTAGAGCACTTGACTGGAACGCGACGGACCGATCGGGATAGTCGTCCCATGCTAGCCTATGCGTAGATCGTGGACCTGGGGGATGTCTTGCTTGGTGTTATTGTGCCTGTCATGGGTGAAAGCGGCTAAGTCGCCAACGCCACCCGCGCCACAATTGTAACTTGGTGCAGCCGCGTGGGGAACGCTCCCTCTCACGGTCCAGGAACCGCGTCCGTTCATTCGCGATCTGGACCGCAACCCCTTTCACGTTGTGAAAGTTGGCTGTTCTCTTAAAGTTTGCATTTGAACCTGAATGCCAAGCCCCTGGGATCTAACGATTTGCGGTCATTTGTATTTACTTTCGATCCGATCTTTTGTTCTCATTTGATAGAAATCGTCATGAAAATGAGTTTGTCAATATGATTGAAGCAAACGATTGGTCCATGTATGAGCCAGGCACCGATTCAGTGAACTATATCACGACACTTGCCACAAAGGGCCAACAGACGGATTCCTTGCCAGGTTCACATCGCGCACGTTGGTCCCGTCAAAATCCTTGTCTATGCTGGAGATCTTCGATCACAAGATCCCCTGATTTCGTGAGTTCATCACTGATATATGACGTCCAAGACTTGCAACCGCACCAGCGCTAGAGTCTGAAAGTTGGCTAAAGGAACGTGATCGTCAGGTTCACTGCTTATATCCGGTGCGCTTCTGAGAAATCACATCCGTTTTAGCATCCTTCTTGTCCTGTTTTATGACTGAGTCACATAGAATTGTCTCATTTGTCATAATGGTCCAGGTCGACATCTCGATCATACCCTTGTCTCAGCCGGGAATCTTATTTGATCAATCCCATTGTATTCATTTGATCAACAAATCTTACCCGTTGACAATTGCATTCTTGTCGTGTGGCAACTACCTTATTACAAATTGACCCAATAGTATTGCAAAGTAACTGTGATATCGTTGTGGAAACCTTGTTTGGCCAGAAAATCAATTCACTTGATGGTTTCAATCGGTGTAAAAGTTAATCCCGTCGTAGCTTGGGGTAGCATGCTCATGAGTCTCGGCCCAGCTATTTGCATTGATATGAACATTAGATGAGAACTATAAGAGCTTTGATTGTTACTAACAATGTGCCATAGGTCGGTTATCGGGTAGACTATCATGTGATGGAAACTTGACGCCTCAGAAGCTTCAGTACACCCGCTTGGCACCCGCTTTGTAGTTTAAACTCTATCTTTACTTTTTTTATTCTGCTCTTATTGCTTATCCAATACTTTAGCGAGAGGCCTAGAACAAAGATATGTGTAGGTTGGGCTGCACTGAGGTTCGTGGTACAACAGGTCTAAGAGATCAAAGATGATTTTCTGAAGTTCTCAGAAGTAGCTCATTTATCAATGAATGCAGTGATGGCTTATATTCAGGCTTAATTTAAGATAGAAAAACACTCTCTGTTGAATTCACGTTCTAAAATGCGTTATCCCAAGATGTAGACAGTAGAATAACCCTTCATTAAATAAGAAGCTAAGCTGTTTAGATTGCTTCAATAGCGTAACCACCCTGAAATCCCATCCAGTCACGCATAACTCCTTTAGCAGCAAAAAGATACACTTTAGAGACACAAAAGTATACGTGATGCGACGCAGGCCTGATTCGAACAGACGCCTCCGAAGAGAATAGATTTCTAGTCTATCGCATTAGACCACTCTGCCACTGCGCCTTCTTGCTTAGTCACCAACTTTAGATTTCTGAAGACATCGACAAGTCATAAGAGTTTGATACTTAATTAGTAAATCAGGTATTTTATTTTACAATGTCAACCTGCCTTTATTATTAGAAATTTAAATACTATAGCAGTTACAATATAGTATTATCCAGCTTATAGCAATCATTCTCGTTGAATTCGTTTAAATACATTTAGAAGTTTACTAAGCTTGTTCAATTTATGAAGTATATAGGGTAACCGGATCTCACCGATTGGTCGAGCTAAAATCATTCGCAAGACATCATCCACCAAAGTTGCCGATAACTCCTTCGTTAATTATTCCATTCCGTTTATAGATAGTACGTAGCATGCCGCTTCCGAGTGGTAATGTCTCGCGCGTCCCATGATTTAAGACATACTCTCTGGCAACCGATTGTTTGTCATTGTAGTAATCGCGTCTAGACCCTTGAAGCCAAAAGCGTTGCCCAGCCACTTGAAATAGCCGTGAGACATGCCGCAATAAATATGTCTCCAGTTTCTTGGGATATCCTGGACAAATAGCTATGTGCGTGACGTCTGTTTTGATTATCAAGCCCCTGGCAACCTCTGCAAACCGAAGCTGCCCGTACAATGCCACAGGCAGGATTACTTTACAGCGCGATCCGGAAATTACATATTGGAATTTGAAGCTATACCGTCATATCCTATCGATGGATCGAGGTTACTGTTAGCAATCTGATTTAGCGTTACAGGGTGATTTTACAAATAAATTCCTCTCTGCTTGCAAGTAATTTACAATCACCAATCTTTACCCGTTAGAGATTTGATAACGTTCTGTCTCGAAGTGGGATTGCAAAGCTACTGGAAAATTAAAACGGCCAGCCGCCCATGTGAATGATAATTGATCTTAGTGATGAACTGCCTAGCACCTTACATAATATCTCATCAGACAGAGCATAAAACTATGCGTATCAAGATCGTAAATGGGCTGTTCAATGTGTAAATCAGTCTACATGCCTGCCATGGATTAGTAGTAGGTAGTTTGTCGTGCATACGCTTGTCGCGTTTTCACAGTACTTAGTCACACATAGGGCAGCTACATATCAATCTCTGTATACATGCCAATAAAGTCTCAATATTCTATGAAAATATATCTGTTTTGTTCAAGTCTGGTACATTTCATTAACCTTTTTATCCCAGGGTCATCTTCCGTACTCAAGGTGGGACAACAGCTGAAAAACGTTTGCCCCGCGGACCCCGCCATTAAAAGTGCCCCGCGATGATGATGATGGTGATGGCACGTGCATTGCTATACGTGCTGGGATAACTTCAAACATCTGTACACTCAGGCCCATAAGTAGCATAATCTAAGAGGCCACAGTTCAATAGAGAGGGCCTCAGACTGAACGTATCCATATGATGGAACCAAAGATGCAGAAAACATCTGCACGACCACCAGAGTCTCATAGCGGAGTAATGTTGCCCCGCACCCGGTCATCCCGCCGCCTTTATCGGAACCCCGCCAATTTTTTTTTTCTTCCCACTACAGGACGTTGACGTACAAGCGTCAAGGCGTATTTTGCTTTGAACTCGCATTTCCATTCACCATGCACCACGTCCTGGTCGGCGAGTCGTGCTACACGGATTCTGAAGTTCAGAAGCTCGTGCAGCGTATTAACGATCAGAGCCCTGTCAAGGTTGCCAAGCTTACCGGCTCATGGCAATACTACCTCGACCTTGAGACCGAGGATGCTGCTGTTCTTGGCAGTATCAAGAAGATTCTCGAGGCCATCGAGGAGCCCATAAGCGCTTCGTCCTCTGGCAACAACGAAAAGGCGATCGATATCTATATTAGCCCTCGAAACGTTTCCCCATGGAGCTCCAAGGCCACCAGCATTGCTCTGGTATGTGACCTCAAGACCGTCAACCGCATCGAACGAGGCCGAGTCATCCACATCGATTTTGAAGATTCCTTCAATGGTGAGGAGGACCTTGCCTTCCGCGATGTCCTTCATGATCGCATGACGGAATTCTTCAGCCTTTCTCCTCCTGTTCTCGACACCATGTTCGCTCATGGCGCCCGAAACCCGCTTGTCGTGGTTGACATCTTTTCCAACGAACGAGGTCCCCTGGCTGCCCTCCAGGACCATAACAAGCAGGCTGGTCTTGGCCTTGACCAACCCAACATGGAGTACCTGGTCAAGCAGTACACTGCGCTTGGTCGATCTCCTGTATGAGTCACAAGTCCGACTTTGAAAATCAAATACTGATTTCAGTAGAACGACGTCGAGCTGTTCATGTTTGCGCAGGTCAATTCTGAACATTGCAGACATCACGTTTTCAATGCCTCGTGGACCATTGACGGTGTCACCCAGGAGAACAGTCTCTTTGGCATGATCAAGAACACCCACAAATCAAACCCTGAATACGTCATTAGTGCCTACTCGGACAACGCAGCTGTGTAAGTCCAATACCACAGTTTACGGCGCTCGATTAGGTAAACGCAGTTACTTACATCTCATAGTCTGTCTGGTGATGAGGGTAATTATTGGGCTCCGGATTATTCCACCGGAAGCTGGAAGCTTACCCGCGAAGTTGTTCAACCTCTGATCAAGGTTGAAACTCACAACCACCCAACGGCCATCTCACCCTTCCCAGGTGCTGCAACCGGTAGCGGTGGTGAGATTCGTGACGAGGGTGCTGTTGGACGAGGATCTTCCCCCAAGGCTGGACTTGCTGGTTTCTGGGTTTCGGATCTCCTGATTCCTGGCAACAAGAGGCCTTGGGAACTTGATATTGGTCGCCCCTCCCATTACGCTTCCAGTCTCGATATCATGTTGGAGGCCCCAATTGGCTCCGCTCGCTTCAACAACGAGTTCGGTCGCCCTGCACTGACTGGTACTTTCAGGACTCTCCTCACTAACGAGCCTGGATCTGACGCCACCGAGTTCAGAGGATACCACAAGCCTATTATGATCGCTGGTGGCATTGGCAGTGTCCGACCTCAGCACGCTCTCAAGGAGGAGAGCCATGTCGAAGAGGGTGCTCATGTCATCGTTCTTGGTGGCCCTGCTATGCTAATTGGCCTTGGTGGTGGTGCTGCCTCATCCAACGCCGGTAGCGAAGCCACAGCGGATCTCGATTTCGACAGTGTCCAGCGTGGCAACCCTGAGATGGAACGTCGCGCTCAAATGGTCATCAACACTTGCGTTGCTCTTGGACCAGAGAGTCCCATTGCCTTTATCCACGATGTGGGTGCTGGTGGTTTGTCTAACGCTCTGCCTGAACTTGTCAAGGATGCCGGTTTTGGCGGCAAGTTTGAGCTCCGACAAGTTGAGAGCGCTGATAACTCCATGTCCCCTCTTCAAATTTGGTGCAATGAAGCGCAGGAGCGATATGTCCTTCTTGTTAACAAGGATGGTCTCAACCGCTTTACAAGCATCTGCAGACGAGAGCGATGTGGTTTCTCTGTGGTCGGAAATGCTGTTACCAAAGACGAAAGTGGCGTTTCCAAGCTTGTCCTGACCGACCGTGAGCCTACAATCCAGCCGCCAACCGATCCCATTAACCTTCCCATGGATGTTCTTTTCCCTCCTGGTCGACGAATTTCCAAGGACGTTCAGCGCGTGCAAAAGAACCTTCGCCCCTTCGATGCTGTCAAGAGCCTCACTGAGCAGTGCGGCAGCTCCGACATCGGCGAGCTGGTCACCAAAGCCACCGAGTTGGTCTTCAACCTCCCTTCAGTTGGATCAAAGAATTTCCTTATTACTATCGGTGACCGTACCGTCGGTGGTCTGTCCGTTCGAGATCAGCTTGTCGGCCCTTGGCAGACTCCAGTTGCCGATGTTGCTGTCACCCTTACAAGCTTCAGTCTCGATGACAAGAAGCGACGTGGTGAAGCCATGGCGATGGGCGAGAAGCCTAACCTGGCCCTTATCTCGGCTGCTGCCTCCGCTCGTATGGCCGTTGTTGAGAGTTTGATGAACCTCGGTGCTGCTGACATCAAGCCCGGCCCTGTAAACGGTGATCTCAAGCGCGTCAAGCTCTCTGCTAACTGGATGGCCGCTGTTGGCCACCCTGGCGAGGGCGCTGCTCTTTACGAGGCTGTCCATGCCATTGGAATGGAACTCTGCCCTCAGCTTGGTGTTGCAATTCCTGTTGGTAAGGACTCTTTATCCATGAAGGCCTCCTGGAAGGATAAGGAGACCTCCGACTCTCACACTGTCACTGCCCCTGTATCGCTGGTTATCTCTGCGTTCAGTCTGGTTGAGGATGTTCGCAGCACTTGGACACCTCAGCTTCGCCGTGTTGAGGAGGTTGGCGAGTCTGTGCTTATCTTTGTTGATCTTGCTCAGGGCTTCCATGCTATGGGTGGCTCTGCCCTTGCTCAGACTCTTGGCCAGATTGGAGATGAGTCTCCCGACGTCCGAGACGTCCAGATCATTCGTGACTACTTCGATGCTTTGTGGCAACTTCACCAGGAGGACATCGTTCTTGCCTACCACGACCGATCTGACGGTGGTTTGCTCACCACTGTTGCTGAGATGATGTTTGCTGGCCGAGTTGGCGCCGACATCTCACTTGACACTCTCGCTGAATCTGAAGCCAACGTGCTCGATGCTCTGTTTAACGAAGAATTGGGCGCTGTTTTCCAAATCCGCCGAGGTGATGAGACCAAGTTCAAGAGATGCTTCGCCACTTGTGGTCCTCCTCACGGTATGCTCAAGACTATCGGTTACGTTCGTCCTACCAGCAAGCAGTCGCTTTTGGTCAAGTACAAGTCCAAGACCATCGTCGATCTGGAGCGCGCCAAGATCCAGCAGTGGTGGACCAGCACTTCTTACGAGATGCAGAAGCTGCGAGACAACCCTGATTGTGCCAACTCTGAGTTCGAAGCCATTCAGGACAACAAGGATCCCGGTCTGCACTACAAGCTCAAATTTGATCCCGCTGATGTCAGCCTGCCTGCTATGACCAGCCTCAAGAGCCTGGTCAAGAAGCCAAGAGGTAAGCTTTCTCGCGTCTACTGCAGACAATCAATCAAATGCTAATTTTTCGCAGTTGCTATTCTCCGAGAGCAAGGTGTCAACGGCCACGCCGAAATGGCATTTGCCTTCCGAGCTGCTGGCTTCGATGCTGTTGATGTCCATATGTCCGACATCCTTGGCGGCCTCTCCTTGGAGGGATTCCGAGGTCTTGCTGCCTGCGGTGGCTTCTCCTACGGGTAAGTAGTCCTACTTGGGTTAGGTTCCAACACTTCGCTCCTTCTCTTGCTAACTTTCACAGTGATGTTCTTGGCGCCGGTAATGGTTGGGCACAGTCTATCCTGATGCATGATGGTGCTCGTAAGGCGTTTGAGGCCTTCTTCAACCGTCCTGACACTTTCTCATTCGGTGTCTGCAACGGTTGCCAGATGCTGACTCGACGTAAGTCCACAAGTTTTTCCACTGTGATCTGATTGATATTAATAATCTGCAGTTAAAGAGTTGATTCCTGGAGCTGACCACTGGCCAACATTCGGTACGTTACCATATTTCACATAATAGCAGGTAGTCGATGCTAACTTAGCATAGTTGAAAACGCCAGCACACAATTCGAGGGTCGATACTCAATGGTTACCATCGAGGACAAGTCCGAGAACTCTGTCTTCTTCAACGGCTTGAATGGCTCCTTGTTCCCCATCGTTGTTTCTCACGGTGAAGGCCGGGCCGAGTTCTCCGGCAGTGACCTGTCATCCATTAATGACTCGGGTCTCATTCCCCTTCGCTACATCGACAACTACGGTTCAGTCACTGAGAGATACCCCTCCAACCCCAACGGCAGCCCCCAGGGTATTGCTGGCGTGAAGAGCAAGGATGGCCGTGTCGTTGCTATGATGCCTCACCCTGAGCGAACCATCATGGCTGATGTCGGCTCGTGGAAGCCTGAGCGACAGTTGGCTGAATGGGGACAATTCGGCCCTTGGTTCCAACTCTTCTTGAACGCACGCAAGTGGGTTGGTTAAAATTCTAAAAGAAATTTGCATTTCGGTGTTCGGGTATGGGAATGTTTACGGTTACGGTTGAACGGGATTATGAGGTTGGGAACGTAGAAGGTTAGTTAAACTATAGAAAATGCATGACATCACTAGCAGTTTTCGTCGCTTTGTAGAAAGCAATATCATTACTTCATTTGGAACTCCTTCTGTGTTTACTGTGTGATATGTGTGATACAACTGTAGTCTTCATAGTTTTCCTTTCTTACCCGACTTCCTGGGACGTTCCTAACTGCCAGTGCATCCACTACAATTGATCCAACTTTGAAAGAATCCATTGGCTCCGAGCGTTTGCCTCGATTATTTATTGGTCCCTCAGCCTTTAGTCTGCTCCAACGCCCCAGTAGTTAAGAACTATTAAGTGTGACATAAGAACATGCTCTCTTTTATCGGCGCCCAATCTGACTCATCTTTATCTGTTTTGGTGTCTCCTTCCACAGTCAAGAATTGGGGAGTACATAGGTACACAGACCAGGCGTAAATTGGGTCTCTCCTTCCCAATGTGTCGACGCCTATGAAATCGGGCGAACCACGGGCAACCATCACATCATCCATTTTCGTCAGCTTCTTACCCTTCTTTACCTTTCTAAAAGCTCGTGTTTTTCTTCACTGGCCCAAATGCACTATATATCGGTCTCTCATAGCACTTGGAGCTCAAATCAACTCGCCAAAGATGAATTGTCGCGTATTGAATTGACAGGCAACGTCTCGCCGGGGGGTTGAAAATGAGGAGTGTTGGCGTGGAAGATTGCCTTTTTCAACCTCTCACTGCCAATCATGATGGCCCTCCACAGCCTTATTCGGTACAAAAATACCTTTGCGATGTGCTACCAACATATGTACAAATCAATTGCTTGTCCTCTTCCTCTGATACATTGCGCCCTGCAACTCATTTCCTCATCCTTTCGTGTTTGCTCAGGCATCGCCAACCTTTCACCACCATTCTTTAATCGTCAGCTCATAACACCAACACCTGTCCTCGTCGTTCATCTTGAGGCGAGGCGATACTAAAAGCGCCTCTCGATAACGCTCCAACGTTATTGGGAGAGGCCTTCGGCCTGACCAGGGATTACCATGGACGCAATGCCGGATCAGCGTTTGAGTGGTGAGAATCAGTCTCAGAATGTCGATGGCCCTGACGATATCATCCTCGGCGATCATGAGCAATGGAAGCAGATTGACCATAGTCAGTGGGAATTGGAAGAGGACGAGCGCAACCTACTTCGCGAAAACAATGTATCAGTCCAGCAATGGCTCCAGGGACAGGGTAACTCCCAGCCTGCCCGAGACATATTTATCAACTCACAGTCGCTACCCCAGCGGAAGCGCGAAACGCATAAGCTTCTGGTTCATATAGATGATGTGTTCAGCGATACCATCAAGCCACCGTCTATCCAGGCAGCGAAGTCTTCCAACAATACGATTCTGGGTCTTCGAAACCCAACCACATCAAATGTTAACACAACCTCAATTAATGAACAATTGTTTAACAGATCTGTGTCTTCCGCTCCATCTCTTCAACAATTTTCAGCTGCTCCCGATCGAAATATAAGATACTGTGAAAATGGATATAATAGAGAACGCTCTTCAAGCACGTTGGCTTCTTACAGCCGCCCAGCTTTCTCGATCGCCTCACATGGACATCAGGCCGGCGGTGGTCATGCTCAAGCCACCGGCCTATCTTTTCAACAAACGGCTCGGTCTGTCACAGGTACCGATACATCCGCTGGTTCAAAGAAACCGCCAAAACGTCAGAACAGCCATTCCATGGATGATGATGATGCAAGCAGCAAACGTACATTCCCCAGGCGTAATAGGTCTAGGGGCAACACCCAGTCTTATCATGCTCCCCCGCCCTCGTCATCTGCGCCTCGCAGGATGACTCAACCAAGCGGAAACAATTCGCTACAGACATCGATTGAGGGTACGCGAGTACCTCCACACCAAGTTAGGAACAACGCATCACCGTTCGTTTCTGGGGATTCCAGTCTACTAGGGCCGAAGCAGAATAAACCACCGCCTCGCCGCGAAGATAAAGTTCTATCCCATGAGCATTTCACCAATTTAGGCGAACTATGTCCATTTTGGCTATTTGATCCTATCCAATTCAGCAACGTTGAGAGGCAAGCTTGCTGTGGCCGTAAGGAAGAAATGTCTCATGTCGTTACACACCTTGCTCACCATCACGGCTTTGTTCGTGGAAAAGATCCAAAGAATGCGTCTCGCACATACCTAGCAAGCTGTCAAACTCACAATTCATCTGTCAAGGCAAAAGGGGATTGTTCGAAATGTATTTCGTTACACAAGTGGAAGGACTCGGACTTTGCAGATCCTGAGCACAAGGGCGTTGTTCTTTGTCTGCGTTGCTGGTTTAAATTTGACAAGAGGGAAATGCAAAGCCACCTGGCTGGGTCGTGCCCCTACCGAGCGGAACAGCCAAAGCCAAAGAAAATGTGCATGCTATATACGACATTTTGCTCTCCCGACAAGCCACCTAGTTCACCTCCTAAGAATATGGCACCACGCAAAACAAAACCCCGATCTTCACCAAAGAGACGTAATCGTCGTAGTACAACACAGCAAGTCGAAAACAACACAACATACAGGTCTGCTCCAGAACAAGCCTCCCAATTACTTCGTCCAGCTCATCCACAGGCTCCATGCAGTCAAGTTAAACCAAATACTACTCATGAATCTACTTCCTCTACGTCGTCTCACGCTGATTCGTTCATTGAGAGAGACGAGCCCATCTCTCATGAGTTTCATGAAACACAGAACCGACCTTCTGTTCCTGGAGATTCGTTCGAACGCAAGGAAGCTGATAGTCACCAGTCAAACCCTCAGCCGATTGCATTGATATATCCAGATACTCCTGTCGAGTACATTGCTGACCTCTACAAAAAGCTTCAAAGAGACAGGCAACAAGGAGTCGTTCAATCGATTTATTCGCCTATGACGGCCCCGTCTTCCTTTGGAAATGGAAGAATGGGTGGTACGGCGGCCGTGAATGGTTTCCAACAGCAGAAGCAACCACAGGTGCAAAATGGCTTGCGGTTACCCAACCAGTACTCGAATTGGCAACAGCCGTCCCTTCAAATCCCACAAATATCATCCCGAATCTTGTCGCAACCGTCAGGCCACACCTCACAACAGGGCTTCCAAGACAAGTCGCTTGAGCAATTCCCTCAGCAGTCCTTGACACAGCCCCAATATCCCCAACAGCTCTCTAGTCAGCATCTCCCACATGAATATCTTTCTGTGCAGAACCGCCAGACTTCAACAAATGCGAATTTTCCCACCTATCATGGTAGAACCCCACAGCTTCTTCGTTCCCCAAATACGCCCCAGCTACAGCTTCAAGTGCCGGCAACGAACGATCTGGACACAACAATATCATTGTCCGGTGGTCTATCGCAAGTACAATCCAGTCCTTCTAGGGTCGCGTCTACCGCTGGAGAGTCTATGTGTCTTTTGCAGTCGCCAAACCCGGACGCACCTCTGTGGTTGTTTGATGACTATGATTATGAAGATACCTCGGACTGGCTGAAGTTCGACACAGTTGGGTCTCACCCCCAACTCCAGAAGTCCTTCGAAGTGGGCGACCCTCCGCCTCTCCAAACCCAGCAAAGCGTTGGGGACTTGAAACCTGACAGTCGTATACTTGCTGTACAGCAAACTGCTGTTGAAAAGGACTCGGGTTATCACTCGAACGTCTTCGACGATCTCTCCAGTACCTTTGATGATTCCACTGGTGCCTTTAATGATTCCTCTGGTACATTCAATGATATGGATTGGGATCCTAATGATATATTTTCCTCCTGAGACGAGTCTCTTTTTAAAAGTATTATTGTTTTCGCAAAATTCGGCGCTGTCTTGAGTTGTCTTGGTATACACAAAATTTCGGTTTAGATTTCGTATCTTCTTTCACGATATGATGATTTGTTATTGGCTATTTTCCAGTATGCCATATCATTCTCACTGCATGTCTCTTTTTAGTCTGGAGCATGGGAATCTCATAGTTTAACAAACAGCTCTTGTCCTTTCACGTCATGTATTAGTAACGACGGAAACGAAATTGATTTTGATAGTTATTATATGGAATAGCTCAGGCTGGAATATCTCATGCGACTAGTTTTGTATTATGTATTTAGTCCTTCCATGCAAATGACAACACCTATCATCAGGGTTTTATCGAAGTTCTTCTATTGGAAGCTAAATTTATGACAAAAACCCATTTTGTAACATCTTAGTCCCGGGTATCAATCTCCAGATCCAGCTGCACACCGTTTGAAATGCCATAATCACCAAGAGTGATGTGGTCCTTAAATGGCCTCTCACTCTGTCGCTTCAAGATAATCTGACCAGGGTCGCGACCAATTCGGGCAGCTACCATGAGCTTCAACTGGCCCACGGTATCTGATTCCAAGCATGGCACTGCAGCCTTTGTGCCGAGACGGTCGTTGACGTTGACGATGATCATCTCCTCGCCTCCCTGCGCAACAGCAGGCTTGGGCTTCTCTTCTTTCTTGTCCTTCCTCTCTCTCCGCTGATCTCTGTCGCCGTCCCGAGGCCTATCCCGTCCAGCGCGATCCCCGTCACGGTCATCCCGACGGTAGTTGCGATCCCTGCCACCGTCACGATCCCCACGTCGCTGCGGCGACCGTCTGCGAAAGTCGCGGTTTCTATCGTTATCTCGGCGCTCTCCCTTCCATTTAAAGCCGCCCGAGCCTCTTGGCCTTCGAGCTGGCGACCTTGATCGGTCCCTGGGTCTGCGTGGAGGAGAATCTCTGCGGTCGCGGTTCTGGTTCCGGTCGCGCGACCAGCTACGGTCTCGGCGCTGGCGACGTTCACTGTTTTCGCGGAATGAGTCGTCGCGACCCTTTCGGTCATCTCTGTCTCTGGGAGCGGGTGACTTTGAGCGAGCTCGGGGCTCTGTGGGTGGTGGCGAGTCTGTCATGGCTGTACTATGATGGGGGCCGCTTGCGACAGTGATTATGTGATTGTAGAAAGTCGCTGGATTACGCAAGTTTGCAGTTTCCTATTTTCGCTTCGCCTATCGCGAGTTTTGTAGTGTTTTTGTTTGTGGAGAGATCGAAGTATGGTCGAAGATTGATGATTTTGATGTATGAAGAGGCTGGAGCTTGATGAACGTCGCGAGTTAACTTTGACAGACATCGTCAGGACCCCACTTTTTAGGCAGTCTCAGAGATGAATTCCATATCAATAACTTTGTGCTGAAGAAGAAGAAGTGGACTGCTGAGCAGGTCTCATAGTGCATTTATATGTGTGATAATAAGGCAAGAGTTAATATTAGACTTTGTAAATCGTCAAAACCACCAAATATGTGAAAATATGGATATTTCTTTGAACATTACTCTCCATGACTCAAAGTTGAAGAGGCAATATACCCAGCTTGATTGTTCAAATTATCTGTTTATTTACCTTGCAAGATCAAGCGAGGGATTCAACTAGTTTACATATTTAAGCATCACTTACATATAGTTTTCTCAAGTGGACTTGAAGCTGGTACGATGGTAATAAGCAAGCGAGGTACTGAAATGAACTTGGTAGCAAGCTTACCCTGGAGTTTCAACAAGACATGCTCAAAATCATCTAGCCCAACAGCTTTGAGAGTGTCTGATAAATCAATTGAGAGACTACAGACAAAAGTCGCTCTAGCAGTGAAACCTATAGCTTGGGCTGTAGCTTGAAGACTATTGACTGCAAACCGTGTCAACTAGTGGCAAGTATCCGTTTGGTTTTGAACAATGGCAAAATTGACACTACTCTCAAGTCATCAAGAACTACAAGTCTGAGATCAAAGTGCAGGTCAACAGTGTCAAATGGTTGGGTATGAAATGTTGAGGAGTTTGCATAGAACGCGACACATCGTCATCACGACACGACATGCAAAGTAACCTCGTATCAGGCAGCAGATGCAAGCTCCAAGAAAGCCTCCTGCAAAGATCAACTTTGGCTCGGACTTGGTTACAACACAGAGTTGTAATAACATAGTAAATAAGGCTTGCGGTCTGACATGACCGCATGTTCCCTCGTATTCTCGTTTTTTTAGAGATGTTTCCTAATCGACCAGCTTTGTTTGCCGACCGTTTTGAAATGGGTTTGTTTCTGGTTTCTGGTTGCTACGGAGAAACCTGCCCTTGACGTCAACGCAATGAACCGACGGGGTTGTCTTGTCTTGGATCCAAAAGCGCCCTTGCAGGGCTGAGCAGCAGAACCAGGATCAGGGTTTGGATTATTAGCGGTCGGCGACGGAAAGCTGCCGCTTCGCGGAGGCATACGACCCGCCAGTAATGTCCAAAGAAACCTCGTGGATGACGAGAGAGAAGACTACACCAATTAGGGATTGGATCCTGTTTGTGTTGGCATCGTACAGCGTGGCCACGTCAATTGCCTGATGAGACGATGGCTATGCTGACTTGAAATAGAAACAATGACGCCCATCAAGGCATTGAGCAGTAAACAAGTAACAAGTACAAAGTTATGCACGGCAAGTAGAGTGCGTACAGTAGCACGAGCAAGATGGCCGCGGTTATCCCAAGCAAATCCGGGGCGGGTAGCCGATCACTCAGTGACAGTTAGACCAGGCCATGCTCTATTCCATAGCCGACGGGGCTTAATTATTCCATGACCCATCTCATCATCTTATTTTACCCCAGCCATGTTCGTTAAAAGACGGCTAATAAGTTTGACGAGGATTGGCGAGTTTCAGTTTTGGCGGAGACCACCGAAGCATATTAGAATAATGAAGAGAATAAATTTCTGACAAAGCGGTAACCGAAAACCAGAGCACCATTCTGTAGCAAGCAGCAGCTGTGACGTACTGTAAATACATCTGACTAAAAGATCTTGTCATGGAAGCAATTACGGAACAAGATAAACTCATTTAACTTTTCTCCCTACATTAGCGTGTTAATCAGGCTTTTGCCATCGAAAAGGAAGGTTGACAACAGAGATCGACGGTCTTGTTGTCTCTCCAAGTCTCTGATGGAGGGCGAGTCAAGGATCAATTAAGGTAAGCGCCAGGCACAAACGACGCAGGAACCTGGGAATCACTTCCGAGAAAGCGGGTGTGCCTGGCTTGGGTGTGACTGACCAATAACCAATTGACAACTGCACCGGTGAGGGAAATTATGCAAATTTTATTTTCACCCAGGTTTCTTATGAAATGGGGATAGTCAACTTCTGCTCAACACCAACGAGTCAAGACAGAGTTAAGATGAGAGTCATTCACTGAAAAACATTGGTCAGAGGCAATAATAACCACTCGTCCATTATTCAACAAAGCCTTGTTCTACCGGCTCGTGGCATTGAGTAGCGGCAAGCAGCGCCATTAAAGAGATAGACTCTGTTGCTAATTGGTCTCTACATCTGAACGCAAACTAATCAGACAGCGTCTTTTTTTTTTTAATTTTTTTTTTTTAACTCTAACTCTTCTCTTGTAATTCCCTCATCTCCCAGTCATCTATTAGTGGGCTGCATGGTGATTTCATTGCCACCGTGTCAAGACCTTCTCTCAGCTCGTCTCTCACTGGTAGCCAACGGGAACACAATGCAGAATTTTCTCATGTCCGTTCATCCTTGGGTTGCTCCATCTAGAACTAGGGGATGGGAAACAAGGGTCAAAGATCCCCGGTGAAACCCTCTTTGTGTGTTCAGAGTCTCAAATATCGATTCTGGCGCACAAAGAGAAAACGTGCGACAACAAGGGACTGGATAAAGAGTCTGGTATAGACATGGCCTAGGCCCGAGTTTCAGTACTCAGTCGCTTATTTGACAGGCCTTGTTCGGCCAGACTACCTGAACCCGTCAAGAGAAGCGCTGTAATTTCCCTCGAGGAGCGTGACAGGCCATTAGCAGTCCTGTCTAGGTCACAGGTACTTATGACTAGACCAAGGGGCAAGGGCCTAGTCGTGTTACCGATACCAGTTTAATGGGCTTCAGCCTAGTCCGCCCCTCCCATCCCACCATCATCACCAAACGTCTGGTCTGGCAGCGCCAGGGCCTTGGCCTCGTTGAAGGGTGTGGTAGGGTGGCCTGTGGGTTCTGGTTTCTAAGTGTTATGCAACGAGAAGCTAAGCTGTGCTGTACTGTTTCCTGTCTGTGTGTTGTTTGCTTTTCCCTCGCCGTTGTGGTATTTCATATGGATCCTCCCCCCCGAACTTGACAGGCCACCCTTCTACACTTCGAAACAACTTCTTCTCGGTCCACAGACTTCGTTGGCAGAGTCTATCGCTCGTATATTTCTTCAACCGAATACATATCTTGTGCTTCTCGCTGTCTAGATATAAAACATCTTGCTGTTCTTTCCCCCAGCTTCACCCAATCACTCACTTGCAATAACATTCTGAGCTTGCTTTGAAAGCACTCACTTATACACACGACTACCAAATTTCATACAACAACAAAACCAACAAAATGCACTTCTCCAAGTTCATCCTGGCTGCTCTGCCTGCTCTCGCTCTCGCTCAGGAGACCACCACTCAGACATCCACCGCCGTCGTGACCAAGACCTACTACCTCTCTACGGTCCGCACCGTCACCGCCACTGGTGAGAGCACCACTGCTGTTGAGACCTCGGCCGAGATCATCTCCACTGCTGTTGTTGAGGAGAAGACCACCTTCCTGCCCATTGCTCACAACACCACCATCCCCGCCTCTACCCCCAAGGCCACTGGCTCTGCTGGTACCACTGGTGGCTCTTCTGAGCCTTCTCAGGTCCCTGAGAACGCCGGAGCTGCCGTCATTGTTGGCAAGTTCGCCATGGTTGGTGTTGCTGGTGCCATCGCTGCCGCTCTTCTGTAAGCGTGCGTTGTATGGAAAGCGATCCTGAAGGGTCTCGCGACTGTCGGCTTACACACTTGCCGACACATCCCAATGTCTTCCATTGCTTGTTCATTTACCCTTTTATACCCTGGCCACAGCGCGGCCTACTTCTTTATGATGAAACGCCACGATACCATTTGCAGGATGACACTTGTCGCCTGCTTCACATTTGATGAGTCTAAGGACTCTGCCTTTACAGAAGCTTGATTGCTTCTTCGCTTCATCGCGCCTGTCTTTGACAAAGCACACAGGCTTCCAAAATTTTGCTTCTTTCTTTGCTGGTGCATCCCACTGGCTGAAGACCTTTTTAACATTGTTATCACTCAACATCTCTTCACTCAACTCTGCTGCCGCAAAGAGAGTGGACGACCGAAGAGCGGGGACGACGTCGGCGACGCGGAAACAATACATGTTCATTTCAGTAACTCTGCTTCTTGAACAAACTGGTTTTACTATACTTCTCTTTTTGGCGATACCCCTTTTTACGACGGCGCAGGTGATCCGAGGTGCTGGCTTATGTGCACTGACCTCTGGAGGACGGTTTGCAGCTTGGAGTATGTCTTTGATTTGATTCCGAAAGGGGTTGTGACGATTTACACGAAGAAAAAGGAGGATTGGTGATATTTGAGATTAACGATGATGAGACAAGCCATGATGGGCTAGTAGATAGCATGAGAGTAATAAGACATTATACACTCAACAACCTCTGTGTTGAAGAAGTGAAAGTGAAAGTGAAATGACTCCAACTGGGTATCTAGTCCCAATTGCCGGCCTAACTCGTTCCTCGGAATGGAACTCAACGTCCGATGACTAATGGGAAGAAGGCGTCAGAGGACCCTGGGGAATTTTGTTGGAGTAAGAAAAAGGCCGGAGTACAAATTATATCTAGACAAGGAAATGTTTTTTCAACAATATTGCTATATTATAGCAATTAGATAGACCGATAACCGGAGACACAGATTCTCTTGTAATATAATTGATATTCAAATCAGACTCTATTATCGATATTTATCTTAATATCTGTACATAAACAATTCTTTTCTTCTTCTGTCCCCGCGCCGTGCCGTTGGAGAAAAGTTGATGGAGCTGAATAAGGATAATGCGATGTCT